CAAAAAAAAAAAAAAAAAAATCCATGGGGAATCCAATTTTCCAGGGGTTCATAAACAGATAAAAGAAAGCATAAATATCCAACTTTGTGCATATAACACTGCTACCTTCCTGTCTTTAAATCTGCCTTAATGCTTCTCCAGATAAAAATAATCGCAATAATGCATTCAATTGATCCTGACATTTAGCTAATTTGAAAAACAAAAACCACTCCAAACACCAACTGAACAACCCTCAAACCTAAAAATGAAAATGTTCAATACCTGGTCTATTTGTTATAGGGTTATGTACAAACAGCTTTGCTTGTTTATGAAAAAAAGTAAAATAAAACTGCAGTGCTATTCACCAACAGGAGACAAATACTTACTTTGTTTTGAAACCCTGGCAGATGCATTTGAGCCATTGTCCCGTCTTGACGAACAGCGCTTGAACTTAATTTGCGTCAGTTCTTCCACAGTAAAATCCTCAGTCCCATCTGTCCTCTCAAGCCCCTCCTCTTCTTGGCTAAGTGGGACAGTGTTATTGTTGGATTCTTTCAGACCTTGTAAATCATACCTATTTTTAGTTGGAGGATGATTATTAATTTTGTCTATGTTTAACTGACCTTGACCTCTGACCTTGTAAGCCTGGACATCATCCATCTGAATGTCATGTCCCCCTGGGAGCCTGTGCTTGGATTTCTGTTTAACGTCAGGAGTCCTTGATGGAGTTTCTTCATCAGAAGTGGAGATGATTGTAGTGCGATCACTAGAGATAGCGGAAGAGCTCTTTAAAGAGGGACTTCTTCTTTGTGAGGATAGTTTTGGTGAGTCGGGCCCACTGTCACTACTGTCAGAATCGTCTGCCAGGCCTTTTGAGGTTACTTTTTTTACCACCACACGCTGTTGCTCAGGTGAATCATTTTTTAATCCTTTCACCAAGTCCAACAGTTTTCTCTTCTCAGCGGAGTCTGAGCGATTGCCGTCAGCTGTACTCTGGGTATCACTACATTCTTCATCAATGCTACTGTTGAAGGAGGTCTCTCTTACAGTACGTGCTAGGAAAACAAAAAAGAAATTAGATCCCTTTATTACAGGATTTGCATATCATTTAAAAACAATATTCTTTTTTCCATTATTTCTCAAAATAAAGAAGTGAAAATATGATTCTGATAAACTGTCAATTTTCAAAACTGCAATGACAAAAGGTGTCTGAAATTAATAATTAGCCTGTGCATTTTTACAAGACATAAATTGATTTCAGATACCTTTTGTATTCCTTTTTTTAATTATATATGTATAAAAATTACATCTAGAACACTTTCTTGAACACTCAATCACAAAATATTCACACAACCAGTGTATACATGTTCAAACCGACCAAATACAGTTCGAGTTATCCTGAAGACGATACTTTCTCAAAAAACAAAAACAAAAAAAGTGTAGGCTAGTACAAAGTAACTTCTGAAGAGCAACATTCAATGAAAACAGCACGGATAGCATCTGTTACAACATGGTATGTCTGAGCTTTATTCTCTATTCCCCAGGGAGAACTCTGGTGGATATGTTTTTAAATGTTTTCATCTTCAATTCAAAATTGCTTTGAACTCATGTACTTAGCTAACAAAGCGATATTTTGAGTGTTTTCTTGAATAATATTCAATTTCTAGCTAGGGATCTGCCTCTTTCCCAGCTATATTTGGAAACACAGTAAAAATGTGTCAACAACTATAAAACACATTCCTCTGCAATCATTGTCAACTAGCAAAACAGCTGCAAACTCCAGATGCCTCAGTGAAAAAAAAAAAAAAAAACATCAAGCTAGCAAAACACATCACCCACTTGGGGCACCCTCACCTACCTAACTCATGCAAACTCCCAACAATGGTTGCCCATACTTTGAACCTCTCAGTAAAAGTGCCTTCCTCACGACTCATCCTTGCAACTGTCTATACAACACTGACTCCAACTCTCCCTGCGAGCAGTTGGGAACAGTGTTTAATAATTGTGTATTGATCAATACTATATATCACCCGGCTGCTTTAATGACTGGCAGGTTCCAGAGTCAAGTCAAGTTCTTTGTGATCCTTTGGTAAACAAGCAAAGCAGCGATTTGCATTTATTCAAGCAAGAGGCATTGACCCATGTGTCAGAGGACCTTATTTTCAGAATATTTGATCTTATTTTAAACTTGACATGAATACAATGTAAATCCAATTTTTTTTAACAGTGAATAAATGATGGAAAAGCCAAGGCAAAATTCTTTGAGTTTTTCAACACCTATTTTAACCAAAATTTAACAAAGCTACTAACCAAATCAATGCAAAAAAAATTAAAGAAAATTTCTTCTTTTATTAAATTAATCACTAAATTATAAGGATGAAATCAATATTCATTCTTCTAAAAAAAATGATTGGCTTTTAGTGGGATTTGTGGCAAAAGCAGCCCAGCATGGAGCAAAAAATCTGATCTCAGAAATGTCATGGCATATTTCAGCTTAAGTGCCCCAGACAATATGAGGTGACCTTGTGCACCACGGTGTTCTCTGTAGATAAGCTGTCATTTTGTAATTAGGGTTAAATATGAGTTTCTATACTCAAGTACTGTGCCACCACTCACTGTCTGTTCTAGAGGGCTTACCACTGAAACTCCCACCTTTAATGAGGCATTTTTTTATATGTATGTCTTGAATACTAATGATTCCTCCTCTAGGCTTTATAGTAATAATAGCTTGGCACAAATTATTCCGTCTTATGTAAATGAAGGCAATATTTTTAGTGTGAAAGCAAAGGTTTTGGTACAACTGCAAAACCAAGGCCATGTGCATGAGTAGAACAATTAAATATAAGTTTTTTCCCTTTGTTACTGTATTTTGCATACTAAAAATACACACAAATTTGCAACTGCATCTTCAGGCCTTTAAAGATGCTCCCTATTTCATAATCACAATACACTAACATTTCTGGCAGACACCTTCACAGTCTATTCTGATCAATAACAAACATCCAAATCAAAAAAACTTTCATGTAAATCCAAACAATCAATATTCCTTTGAAAGCCATACAAGCAAATCCACAGGGATAGAGAATGGGAGATGGTTAACATGAATTATTAACATGCATACAAACTCTCTGATCAGAAACCATATCAAACACCACAAAAAACAATTAGTTTAAAGCAAGAGAAAATGCCATAGTGCAACAACCTTAATGCAGGCATTAGAGAAATATTTGTAATTTTTTGGTCTCCAAGCCAAGTAATACATGTAAGTGATGCAGTCTTTATTTCTTTGTCCTCATTTCAAGTGAGATTTTTTAACATCTTAATTCGTATTTTTTAACAGATGTGTTTGTTGTGCAAACACATTCACACTTATCACAATGTGGACAGGTCTACCACGTATTTACCAATATACAGTAGTTTCTGAGCCTTATCAGTTATTTATATTAAACAATAAAAGTGAACACACCCATATAACACCCCTACACATTCAATATACACATTGCCATACAGACTAGTGTGCATTTATGCATTATGGAAGGAAATTAATATAAAATGATTACTATCAAATAACACCAGTTTTCATTAATTTGGTAGAAAGGCTGTGCTGTGCTACAGCCCCAAACAGCTATAAAATGGTTCAAAATACTGATGTTCAGCTGATGAGTTTTAGAAGTCACTTCAATACCATGATAGCAAACATCACAAAAACTGTATTTAGTGGAATCATTTTTTTCTTCAATGAATCACCAGGATCAAGATTTCTTCAAAAATACTTCAGACATCAGTTACTTTAAAAAAATCATATAATAATATTTAAACTGTTCACAGCAACCTAAGATATGTTGGTCCAAGGAGCTTGACCTTCCCATACGTTAACCTCCCCTTACCTTTGCCACCTCTGCGTATGGAAGCCCTGACAATGTCGGAGCCAAGAAGCACAACCTTCCCGCTCTGACCACTGCTTACTTTATCAGTATTTGCTATAAGGTTGCTATAGAACCATTCCCCTGACTGCATTTTGATTTGCCTAATGAAAATCAACAGAAAACAACCATGCACACAAAATAAAGATATAGAGCAAACACTCATCTGTTTCCCAGAACCAATTTTTGTGACTCTCACATTTTTTCCAGGTTTTCTTTTCTTCAAACTTAAAAAAAATTGTAATAAATAAATAAATAAATAAATAAATAAATAAATAAATAAATAAATAAATAAATATACTGATAATCAGATTTATCAGCAAAATGTGTTGATTTTACATTTGAATCTTAATTTTTTTCTACATGTACAATGACCAAGGGAGGTGACAATGTAGCCTTTCTCCACATATCATTACTACAGCACAAATATATGGTTCTGAGTAACAACAGGAACAACGCAAGTGAAACTAAATCATCAAAACATTTGGTAATCACAAATAAAAGTAAACCAAACATCATTTGAAATTTTACAATATCTATGCACAAGAAAATGCAAGTGCATGCAACAATATCAATTTTTTAAAACTAAAAATCTTGAAATCAGGATTGAAATAAACTGAGAGATACACTCTAAAACAACAGTCAATAAGATGAGTACAAGGTAAAGATACCAAAAGGGACAAAATGTCTGTAGTCAATATTACAATACAAAAGTGTTTGGGCAATGTCATGGTTGTGATTTACCATTTCTCCCACCTTTTATCCACCAAAACAGGTAAATACATGTACCTTGTGGTGTATTAAGGCTGGAGTGGTCAAATGGTTCAGCTCCCATAACAATGAGAATCAAGATTTTGTTCCTACAGGTATCTTTAGCATATACTTATCATCAAAACAACAGAGCACAACAATCTTCTCAGTATCAAAAATCGATAAATAAATCAATCCAGTACCTCTGTTTGTAACACAGCGTACACACCCATCCTTCTTCCTCTTCTGGGACCGCTTCCCTGCATAGTTTACACACTTTGGCATGGCAGTTGGGGCAGAAGGCGCCACTGTTAAACAGAATACCCAGCTCACTACGGCACCTAGTGCAAGTCTTCTCAGCGTCCTGGCCTGGCTTCAAGGCCCCCTGTCTTCGCAATAACTGTATATCTGCCCGTAATTTGCTAAAGAGATGAAAAGAGTATGACATGAACCTTAACAATTCAATATTTAATTCTAATTATCTATTCAAAACAATTATTCAAATGTTTCCCGGATAATTTTTTGACTTACATTCTATAATATGTCTCCATATGATTATCTCCTATTTAACATTTTTATGTTATGATGTTTACATGTCATTAATAAGGTTTAAAATTATATAACTAACTCCATTGATACAAAAAAAAAATTTAAAAAAAACCTATGACTTCAAGTTTTCAAAAACTGATAAATTGATGATATGATGTGAGAATATAAAATATGCAGTAAACAAACAATCATTCAATTTTCAAAATGTCATCATGTATTAACACAGAAGCTTGGAAACTGATTTCATTAGATTAAAATTTGCATCATTTTGATAATGGTCTTGTCTTTCCTTGTTAGTCTCATATCATGAATAACATCTATATACACTAATGATGAGCCACTAACACTCAGAACTAAGTCATATCCACAATCAAGATGAGAGATTTCACAAATTTTCTTTTGGTATTTTCTCAAAATAAGAAGGTATAAAATGAAATGACACTACTGGTACATGTATTCACTGTCTTTTTATTGATAAATTTTATTTTCATATGAAGATGAGTTTTAAGTGACATTTTTTATTAAAATGAATGTTTTATTCCATATAATATAAGGACCTGCATTGCATTTTTTCTGAACATACAATTACAGTTGCTGATCATTAAAAAGTAATAATTATCTCATTCCTGTTTTATATTTGAAGGAATTAATCATGGCAAAAGTCAACAGGACAAGCAGACTTGATGTAAGGGGATTATAGTGGGACACATTTCCAGTGAGTGGTATAACATTCCAATCTTTTCACCTTTTGAAATGAAAAGAAAACTATTTGAGCAACACAGTCTAACTAGTTTATACCACATATTTTAGCTGCAATGTTCACTGGGTAAAAAAAAAAAAAAAAAACAAATGTGCCATGGCATGTAGAGTATGTATGACAACCGTATAGTACCTGGTCCTAAATTTTAAGAATTTATGCTATGTAAAGAAAAAAGGGGAAGGTGGGAGACATTTTACTTTCTTCCATGGCCAGAGTTCATCATCATAAAGTCAATATACTGTGCAAACTAAAAATTGTGTATTTGCAAATGTAGTAAATACCATTAAAAATCAAGATTAATGGTTCTTGGTAAATAATGTAGAGAATATTTTGAATTAATGTACTAGTACCACAGCTGCTAACCAATATTTTTTTTGCTAGCATTCTTTACTGACATCTTTTTAAAAAAATTCACAAAATACAAGCCTGCCATGCAATGCAGCACAGAATGCATCTGGGTCATTACAGGCACTAACAATGTCTGTAACAACCCAGATACATTTCTTTTAAAACTGCTGATTTTTTGCAGGTAAAATAAAAACAACAATATACACAAAACTGAAAGAGAGGCCCAATTTTTCAGTAGTTCCTTATATTGTACCATTTTCATATGAAGTTTTTCACTGAGCATAATACTATGGCAAATAAAGAGAAGCTAATCCAAGCCCAAGGTTAAATCACATCATTATCATATTGTGTCTTGTACTAAAATTGGTAGCCATCACACTATAAGTAATCCCAGACAGAGATTAATAACTTGACAAATAAGCACTTTAACTCAAATGTCTGGGTTTATTTCAAGTTAATTCTGATGTCAATCATCTTATGCACAAATTTCATAACACCAGAAGTGTTCTACCAACATGACCAAGCTTTAAAAATACTGGAATATGAACAGGGTCATCTTTTATGAATAGACTAGAATACTATGCCTCTCACCACTTTTTTTACATAAGAATGCCCATATAGATACAGGCAATGCAGTACAGAATTCCATGCTGTTGCCTTGTCGCTCTTGAAGCATGAAATAAGGTCACATAATTCTCCAATGAATAGCAATTTTCAAACCAAATGGACATATTGTGTGATGTGTGTCACACCTGCCTGCATTACAGGTATTCATAATATAGAACAAAGCTACAGTTTAAGTTCAACTAAAATTATCATTCCAAAGGTGTATAATGAGTCTCTCCTTGGACACATACTATGCTGATCCAGTGCCTGCCTCATCCTTCTCATTATTACAGCTTTGTTTTAGCAAGTCTGCTATTCAGTAAATTGGCTAGCTATTCAATACATTAAGCTGTTGTCTAATTTTTCTTTTCAAATTATTTTGGGCACCTTTTCCAATGCATGTGTAGTTTTGTGGCATTTACTTTATTTGCAGTTTATATGGAGTAATTTACTTGCTTCAATGTTTCTCATATATCACAAAAATTAGTTGTTGGCTAAACTAAAAACTAACTTAAAACCTTTGCACTCTTTGTTTTGCAAATAAGTTAAAAATCAGATACTAACATTTTTTCTTATTGCAACACAAATACAATCACATCACAAGTCTTCGATGGCACCCATGACAAATTATAACAAAGCACCGCTGTCATATTATAACAAATAGTCTCATTTTCATGAGATGATTTCATCCCCATGCTATCAAAGGGTGGCTATTCACTCCCTCCAAACAATGTCCTGTTCACCCCCACATAACACGTATCTCCAGTGTCTGGAACTAGTGGCCTGTGACTAAAAGGGCAAGGTATGGGGGTCCCTTTTTTTCTTTCTGAACACTCGGCTTATATAAGTTTTATACAGTATTCCACATTTTCATCAACCCACATCTTTTGGGACACAAAGGCGGAGACTCCTTGAGGTGAATCTTTCTCTAAGCTTTGTGGTGCTCAGTGTACACATCTCACCAAAATCATAATTTTTTTCTTTTTTTTTTAAATCAATCTTATCACATATTTCCTGAGCAAAGGTGAGGTAAAACGTAATGTTACAAATGCCACAAAAACATTAACTTTAAAGGCACTTATCTTTAATTTCAATACCAAATTTCTAACATTTAACTAAGGTCTCTGCTCTAAATTTATTGCAAGTTAAGAGTTAAAATATATGGTTAGAGTTTGGAAGGAAAAAAACATTAAGTGCTTTTCAGGCATTTTTTTCTCTGCTTCATGACTTTCAGCAATTGTAGTTTTCCATTTGCTTTGAGTTAATATTTTACACCATTTCAATTATCATCATGCAGTTCAAAATACATGCTGGTGCTACATCAGGATGAAAAAATATACTGTATATTAATTTCTATAGTGCCAAATTAACTGACACAACAGTTACTTAATCACTCTTACTTGATTCTTTTCTCCTCAGCTTTTTGTAATTCTTCATCTTTGTGCAGCACATTAAGAATGATATCCCTCTCAGTCTCTGTCAGGTGGTTTAAGTCCACAAAGAAGTCCATCTTTGCAGCTGGCCATTTTCTTACGTGCCTGTCTACTGAAGTAGCCATTATCGTAGCTTGTTGATCAAAACATGCTGGAAAAAATTCCATGTACATTATGAGCTAAGAAAGACTAAACTATTTTTATACACAAATATAAAACAATTAAAATAATACTGGTGTTCAGTATTTTTAGAACATTTACACATTTCAAAACCAATCTTTTTTAAATCTGAAACAAAGGCTCCCAAAAGGCAGAAACATACATCAGAAGAAAACTCTTTTGTAGGTGAATTAGTAGAGTTTCAATAGGCTTCTGTAAGGGTTAACAGTATGCATGCTGTTTCGTGTACAAAAAGGTCAGACAAAGTTAAAAATATTCAACAACAAAGTTTAAAACCTTGACTTAAATAATTGGTGGATTTTTTCTATATCCTTCAGTTGGTGACAAGATGCAACACCTTCAATTTTTAAACCACATGCACAAATTCCACTGCAGCACCTTACAACTACCTAAACATAACTATGGGTAAAAAAATAGTTTCACTTAATTTTTTCTAAAACTATCAGTTCATAAACATTTCAGTTTGACAACAATGATTTTCTTTTCTTTCTTTCTTTTTTTGACTTCCACCACAATTACATTAGAATGCTCACTGCATACCCTATACCTACTGTCAGCATCAGAACAGCAGCGACAGCATCTGTCCCTAGCTGCTTATTCCATCACAGCATAGTTTACATGTAGCATGACTTAACAAGTACTTAGCCTTGTCAGGAATTGCTTATCTGGCACCTCACAGCGATGCTACTTAACAAGACAAGTGGTTTTCGCAAGGGTCACATTTTACAAAACAACACGTAATTATCTTAACATCGCCTCTGACCCCAAACTGAAACCTAAAAAATACATACAATTATTGTTGGAAGTATGCAAATTTATATTTTTCTTGTTGCTGTTTTGAGAATGCTTAGAGCAAAGGTATGCACTTGTACTGTGTGTAAATTCCTTTTCTTGTAAACAACATTCATGTATATGTTATGACAAGTAAATTCAAATAGCTAACCTCTAATCCAATTTGTTTACCTGAATAAAATAAGGGGCAACCTATCTAGATATGAAGGTAACTTCATTTGAAAACATGGCCACAGACACTATGTCACTTAATATAGCCTTATTAATGTAATATATGTCTTTTCATTAGATATTCATATAAGGGCCATTCCTATCATTTTCCCATTGTGAAACATCCTCTTCTCTACGTACATTTTTGCATGTCTTTAAGATACTATAAAAAACGGAAATTGCACCTAATCTTTAACTTCTTATGAATTTTTCAGTGAATAGAAGGAGAAATGTATCTTAATAAAAGAAATAAGAACATACTGTAAAAATAAGTTCAAGACTATAAACAATCCAAAGGAACAGTTAATATAAGGAATTATTTCATGTATAAATTACCAATCTACAACTCAGACTAAAGACACATCATAATGATGTGGATCATGTCTACTTGTACATGTATACATGTACTTAGAACATATACATAATAAAGATTTACTGTACTCTTTGCAATATATAAAACATATACTGAATGTATAATGCATACGTACACGTTTCATCTTTTCTTTGACTGAAAATGCTGTAATTTCTGTGAAAAAGCCCACATATTGATTGTTCTCATTTGCTTTACTTAAAAATGGTTATTTTTTTCAAGCAGAACCCCTATACTTGTAATGTCTACACATTGATATATACTCTCATTAACAGTATGTGTAAATATACAACTGTATAGCCTTATGTGACCAGAATAAATCTATTTGAGAAATGCTCAGAGGGGTTGAAATGAAAACAATTTTGTTTCCAACCTTTGAAATCAAAAACTTGATTGCTACCCACCCCCACCTCCATCCCCACCAACAAGCTGAGCTAAGCAGCCAGCATAAGCTGTTTGATAAAGGGAGGGGAATCAAGTGTCTACTTCCTTATGTTAAACCATAAAAGTATCTTTTTTTTTCTTTGTATTAGTAAAACTATTCTGAGACAAACATACAATCAATTTTGTTTGTCAATTTTGTTTCCCAGCTGCAAGGAAGTTTCTCAAGCATATCACAAAACTGCACAAACTGAGAAAAAAACAATGCTCATGTATTTGTGGTCAATCTCTTTCAAATCATGAACAGCAGTGGAGGATAAACTTTACTTCAACAAAAATATATTAACTCTACTTCCTTTTGTTAAATCAGAAAAGTTTAATTTTTTTCTTTGTCTAAGTAGAAATATTCTGAGAGAAAACAAACAATCTATTTTGTTTGTCATGTTTCTCAAGCACATCACAAAATTGAACAAACTGAGATAAAAAACACAATACTCTTACGTGCATCATGTATTTGCGGTCAACCACCCTCAAATCATGAAAAGCAGTGGAGGATAAACTTTACTTCAAAAATATATTAACTCCTAATAACATACTATGCCAGATCTTAAGGTGACCCCCTTAACTGTTATTACAGTACAGATAGTATGATTTAGAATTGAGTTCACTAGCATATATGTATATATGTATATATAGCTGGGTAAATAAAGTGCTGTATACTCACCCGTCTTAAAGAAAGCAGTTGAAATTCTCCTGTAGTAGTTCACTCATTGTTTGGCCTGCATACTAAGATGAAAAATAAAAAGATGGACACATTTTAACTGAAATTATTAACATTATAAAACCTTCTAAATAGAAATGTGGCACACCTGCATCGTGGATTACAATATATATATTTAAGGTCCCAGGGAAACATTAAGTTGATCTGAATGTTGATATTGTAGTAATGGTAGATATATCTAGAGCAGTCATCCAAAAATATGACCCTTGTCCATGAATAAATACAACAGAGAGGGGCAACAGGAGACAGGATATATTCATCAATAGCCGAAGAAATGTTTTTCACTGTTCTACGACTTTTTTTCTCAAACCATATTTTTTTTTGGCTTAAGTTTTCAACTAAAATAGATGAAAATGAAACTGGTAAAGGTCTCATCAAAGTGTAATAAACCTAGGACCCAAATTATGAATGTTGCATCCATAGACAAAGTAAATATAAAGCAATTTTTTTTATCAGATCTTCTCCATGGTGGCAGGTAGATCTATTCTGTCATGTCCATAAATAAATGCAGTGCTTATTCACGTTTCTTACATAGCCCCTGGTCACAATACAAGGGGTCTTTTCATCTAAACATGCCTCCTACTTCCAAGATAATAACATGTTTATGAGCAACCATGATATATAAATCATAATACCCTCAAATCATGAGGACTAAAGACCACGATGTCAAAGTGTACCCCAATTTTTTAAAACCTTCCTTTTTAAGACACATTTTGTGCAAAAGCAAAATTGCTTTCTTTAAATAAATGTGCTTTACTTGGGTGTATGATATATTATTTTTTCATACACGTATCTAATCTTCTCATGATTCCAATTTAATAGTCAGAGCATCAATTTGATATTAGCTTTTTCTAAACCACTAACACCCTGCATTAATACAGTTATCAAGGCAGTGAAATTAAGTTTTGTTTGGAAAAAAAACCCTGCTAACAACCAATTCACTACAAAAAAAAGCAAGGATTAGAGCATTCAACCACTGAGGTCTCTAAGAATGGGGTTCAATTTTATCAGCAAACTGCATCATCACACACTGATATAAATGAGAATTTACCAGTCTGATAATGTGTGGAGTGTATGTTTTTGTCAATATTTGGCTGCAGTTCCAAGTAGCTACACGTGCTTAGTGTGCCTTTTATCAAGTGGTTTCATGTGTGCCCCACAAAAGTTGTATGTAAACAAGACTCACCCATACACTGATATTTCTTTAGGGTTAACTTCAAAACATAAACATACTATAAAATTTAAGTTTATATTGACATCAGAATACAGCCTCATATACAGTGTACTTAGAGGGCATTTCCAGAGATTTAGATCGATCTTACTAGATCGACCTAACTCCCTGGGGGTTCAGGCTAAATTGCAGTCAGCCGACCGTGCACGGAAGTTAATTACCCCCTTACAGCTTGTAGTAGGCGGGATGGACATTTAAGCCGGATTATCTGACAGTAATCTAGTGGGACTCCCCACGGGGATAGATCGATCTAAAATCTTTAGGAATGCGCTATTATACAAGCATATGAAACATCTAAAATGTCCATATGACAGGAGTTTAGATCTTTTCATTAACCACATCTAATGCTATGATAAGAATTTAGATTAACAGTATAAATTTACACATTATGATTCCCATTTGGACATATCTATGAACCTCGGTGTATGTATAGTAGATAAAATTTTACCCAGAAGGGACCTTTTCCTGGCAAAAAGGGTGGTTCTTTCAACCCCCCCCCCCCCCCCGGCTACAGGCCTGGAATGACATAGCAGATGAATACACAGATGAATACAAAGCTAAATAAATAAATAAATAAATAAATAAATATCTCCTTCTCTGTTCTTAATGGAAATTATAATAGTTGATTGAAAGGATGAACTACCTTTCACAAATCTTATATGACCTAGACTGTTGAAAAATAGCTGAGACACTTTCCAAACATACCATAGCATACTGGTACTCATATATCACATAGGGAGAGTGTCAAGGTACACACACTATCATACCTACCATACCAGTACACAGTTGTCCGTGTTATTACTGTTAAAAAAATAAAGTATTGCACGAATCATCATGCATTCACACTTATTTTCCATTTTTAAAAATATCTTCTACATGTGTTAATTAGCACATTATTGGTGTTATATTTCGATGGCGCTGTGTCAATGTTACTTGATTATCCTCAAGCCAATACTGTCTTTTAATTATGCAATCCGATAATTAACTTAATAACTGACCATGTGATCCCATCTTTAAGTATATATATATACTGACAGATGAATACAAATTAAGTTTATCTTTAAAGATTTATGTAACCAGACTTCCTTTCTATTAAGCGAATTGCCTGAAGTAATAAAATATTCACGCCTGAAATATAATAGACTACTTAATATACAGCTCGTATGACCTTACCTCAGTCAAAAGAAAGAAAAATGAAATAATAGGGCATCAATTAAAACTTCTTCATATCCCCTTTTGCAGATTGTGGGGAAGGATTTTGCAATGACAGACAAGACATCAATATGGTTATATTTATTTACAATTACTGGCCCATATGAAAGTGGCACTAACCGATCGACATCTCCCATAGTTATTAAAACTCCATGGCATTAAAAACCAAATTAGGCAATATAATTGACGTACAGAATTTCAAAAGGTCGTCTGTGCTTAAAGCCCTGATGACACTGGTTGGCGGAACAGGAGACGAGTGTCAGCCACAAACAACAGCACATATAAACACTCACCGCAAGTTTACGCCACAAAATCGGACATGTCCACTGGTATTTGCACCAGAAACACTGTGCGCTTCACTTCCAAGTTTTCCACTACTTCATAGGAGATAAAACTGGTCATGAAAATGACCTGGAAAGCAAACAGATGTCTAGGCCTTTGCCTCGCGACAGCTAAAACACGCAGAGCTGCAGGCAGTGAATGACACACAACAAGCTTGACGGTACGTGTGTGAAACGGAAATTACAGGCACTTGTTGCTTCCGCTCCCAATAGCTGGCGCCACGTGCTTGAGGCAGCAAGATGAAACGGTTACCTAGGGCTCCTATTATTAGATTAGATAAGTAGAATTTAACGTCGGTTAAAATAAAACTCCAGCATATATGCATTTCTAAAATAAATCAGAGTTTCACATTTATTCAACTTCACTGGTAATATTCTTTTCAGGTCAATGGATGAACGAAAAAGAATGGACTTACGTTTGCGGAGTTAACCTATTAAGATGGCAGCACGGGAAAGGGCGTGGCTCTAATGTTAATAAAATGATAAACTTGGCTTCGCAGTTTCCGTTGAGTGCTATCTTAGAGTGATACGATTTAGATAGCGAATACAACATAGGCTGTAACGGATTATCGTATTCATAGATCTGCGTAAAAATGAGTAAAGGGAAAATGTCCGATAAAACAGTTTAACATTAGGCCACACTGTTTTATTTTTATGGATGACATCCTCTGGGGACCCCCAAAGTCGGTGCGAGCGGGCGAAAAAAAAAAAAAAAAAAAAAACAGTCCAAAAAAAAAAAAACTGCTTAAGAAAAGTTATGTTTTCAGTACACAGCTGGAAACACTAATTNTTAACGCTATTAAACTTAGGGTGAATTTGGTCTTGTTTAACCACTGCAGGATAAGGCTAATGGTGGAGATAATTTTACAGTAAGCTCTGGTACTCGAAAATCAGACTTTTTCGTCTGTTTATGTTGTTGGTCTACTTTGATCTGTTTTTAAAAAGAAAGAAAGAAAAATACCAGAAAGAATTTTTCCGCAGTTAATGATACTGAATATTTTACTTGTCTATGAACAATTTACCAAAACAATTTATTTGAAAAGGAAAATACCATTGCCCAATTTTTCTATTTTAGTATTTAATTTCTGAAGCAAACCCTATCTGACTAAATGTTTTTCGTAAACCCCATGACATTCGTGGTTGATGTGTGGGCAGAAAGATTCATGTGTTTTGATGAAATTAAATTTAGCAAATATCACAGCTCTGTGAGAAATTGAGCCTCGATCACAATCTGACTTTTTTTTTACCTTTAACACAGTGAAATTACTTGTCATTATATCACTGGGGCAGATCCGGGATTTTTTGAAGGGGGGTCCGTGGATGCGAAGCAGACCCTCTTCCCCGTTTTCCGATATAAATATATATGCGATAAATACAACTATTATACAAATATGTTAAATCATATAAGTTTTCTACTTCTATGGTAGAATCCAACAATACAGCTAGGAATTGTTGAATGCAACCGGATTGTACAGATTAAGTGAATCATATAGTATGGAACGAATGGATTTGTAAATGTTTTGAATGAAAATCTGCTCATCATCTAGAATTGACATAAAATCAATGCAGTTTCAGCTACAGAATACATTTATAATACGCATAACTACCATTTTCGGACTTGAAATTGATTGGTAGCCTACCTTTTTAAATTGGCAACATACAGGAAAAAAAGCAAAAGCGCTGATTTCACTAGTATTCTGGTAATTTGAAAACCATTGCCCAAGTTACCGAAAAAACATCGCTTCAGAAAATGATCATGGCAAAAAAAAATTCACCTTGAATGTGCTATTGGAGTGCGAACAGTTTGAAGCGTTTTAATCAGGATTTTATCTAGCACTCCATATTCCACCAGGACTTAAGCCTTAAGAACCTGTTTGAAGTATTTGACGTGCTGGTTTTTATGGACCATTTTTGGCATACTGACGCCGCATCTTTGGCAATCCTATACCTGGGTGATTCATTTATCAGTGTTCTACATGCGCAATGTCTCGAGTTTTGGTGTAAATTGGGTCGACCGCAAACGGGCAGATAAAGGAGTTCTTTTTGTAAACTGTAAACCTCATCGCCTACTCAAGAGGGAGTTTATTTTGTACGCGAAGGCACAGGAAATACGACAGAACGAGAATTAATTCCAGTTCAACCGGGAGGGGCCTCAGCAGTAAGGACAGCAGAAAACGCCGCTGAGTCGACGGACTACGTAAAGCAGTAAAGGGGGGCAACAGAATCTCAGGTGAGTGCTTTGCTCTTGTATTAGGCCTATATTCTTTCAACTGTCGACGGGCGTATTTAACTATGAGTACTGAACACACAATATTCCAGTGTCATTAAACTGGGTTGAGTATTGGACACGTTTTTTAATCCAGTGTTTATGTCTGGTTGAGAAATTTCCGTCGCTTTAAGTTTGTCTGGCCGAGGTTTGTCCAGGTTCGTACTCCCATGGCTATAGCTATATCAGGATGAACTTCATGAAGGCGAAAATTCCCATAAAGTGTCCGAATAGAAGTACTGAAGAGTAAGCTTTTTAGATAGCGGGGCTTCATGGGGATTTTTTTCCACTCCAAATGCTTTGGAACAGCCTTTTGGGATTGGCGCAATAAAAAAAGCAACCTCAGGTGAAAGATAAATTATTTGATAACTTGCAGTCTCGTCATGTTATTTGACTTTGTATACCAAATTCAACGTCTTGCTGGATAGAGAGGGTGGTGTTATTACGTTCACACAAACGAACCGAATATTGTTGCGAGGTCTTGCTTTGTATTCATCAACTTCTCATTAAACCTGTTTCCTTGCTCAACATAAACATACTACTTATTCATGTAGTTGGCATATATGCATGCAACCTAGTTCATTTGACCCACATTTAGAATCATCTGGACTTCATTTTGCTTTCATTCATGTTCACTGACTGTGGTAAGCTAAGTATTTAAAGATATAGTTTAACTTGTACATGTACTGGGTATATCCCGTATAGTAATCCATTTGCAATATGATTATAGTTCAAATCAGATTAGCATACCTCAATTTTTTATGTGACAGACTGATAAATGAATCATTTATAGGCCTATGAATATGCTTGGTAGATATACAGTAAGTGAGAAAAAGTTTGGTGTATTAAGATCATTTTGAGAATTGCTCATCCTCGGAAGTAATTAAGATACTCTCTCAGCTTGTTTTTGCCAATATTTATGACCCTGCTTCACCTTGATAGGTAATTTTTCACTGAAACCGGTCAGGTAGGATGCCCAGAATAAACACCAATGGTTTGAGAGCATTCTGCTTGCATACCTTGAGAAACCAATTTCAGCCAAAAGGATGCTCCTTGGCAACATTGGCACTTGCTTCTTTTTTGGACTGATAGAGTTAATGTGTGAATTCCCCCCCCCCCCTTTTTTTTTTTTTTTTTTGGCTCAACTGGTTAGCCTTAGTCATTCTAATTGCCCCAACAGAACTCTTGAATAAATATCCATGTATTCTGTCAATTTCTGTGAGTCAACGGCATAAGTGATTAACTTAGCCATATTGCTGGTGGAAGACTTAATATTTTTGAGCTTGAGTTTAAAGATACATACAAAGTCAATTTTTTGTCACAAAAACCAATCAAATGCCAGCATATAGTTTCAAGTAGTATAACTAAGAGAATTACCAAAAGGCATTGTTTAATTTTACCCGAAAATGATGTTTGAACAGATTTTTCTGCTGGCATTCTAAGCTGTATGTCAATGGGGCAGGAAAGTAGGTCACGGAAGTAGGTTAAGTTTTCAACCATAAATTTAAAGAAAGGAGCAGTCTAAAGGTCTTTTATGGCTAATCGAGTGATCTATTCAGTTTATCCCTTGGCATGTCAAATTTATTTGAGTCATATAAGAATCTAGTAGAAGTGGTTTACATGTGTTACTGGGAATCCACACTCCACCGATGCTTGGTTCGTATGTACCTTTAAATAATAAATGAACTGGATATTGGCACCCCAAGGTTCAGAGTACTGTTTTAGACATTCCTCTATCCATCATTGCTCAGTTGCTGAAGACAGCAGATAATAGAGTTAGCGAGCTCTTGAGCAGACTCTGAGGCTCGGTATATGTTCACGTATCGCTTCCTCACAATAAATTATGAGTACATTCATTTGCTGACCAGGATTATCATACATTTTATTTCCAAGGTTATTTTGAAGCACTGATAAAGCTACAGTACTAGTACATGCATGTTAAATAAAATATGTTCCCATAGCTTTTTTTTATAATATTGGCTAACATATATTATCATTTTTTAACAGGAAAGATGTTCAGTCTGTATGTGGTGTTAGCAGCTGGGTTAGTGACGGTGGCCATTGGTCAGGCTAACCCAGACAGGTGGAGCCCTAGTGACTACCCAAACCCAAGGATGCCCAACAGTGGCTCATACAGCTGTCTACGGAAACAAAAGAAGTCCTATATCTGTGATCCAAATACTCTTATTTCATTTGAGGATGGTAAATAATGTTTTTATCACTTGTAAAATTAGATGTTATTTGCTATGATATCATTTGCTCAATTCAATTGATAAATTATTTAGATACCTTAAACTGTTCTCATTTTATCACACAAGGCATGCTTTTTTAAAATTGAATAGATGGAATGGTGCTGCAGTTTATTGAAAGAAAAACAGCTCAGAAAAACATATAATGATAAAGTAATCATTATCACATTATATGCATGTGTTACAGGGTCATTTTTTCCAAATCTATACTAGTAATGATGTTTGTTCATGAATTCCATCATAGTCCATGGCTACATCTGTAACTTCTGTTTAAATATGCACATATATAGTAATCTTATTTCTTATAGCCAACATGTTGGACAAAGACTTGGAGCGGATAGCTAACAATAGCCGCTGCCTGTGTTCTGCCAGTGAGTGCAATAGGAGACAGCAGAATAAGGAACCCAGGGGAACAAGGATGGCTGTTGCTTTGATGCAGGAAATGAAAAGAGAAGTAGAGTGAGTAAAGTACTTTTTTTTCTGCTTTCATAACTTTTTAAGCAATTTTTTAAACATTTCAGTCGAAAAATATAAGTTGTTATTATAAGCACATTTTCACATGAGCAGAGAAAAGTCAAATTTAACATTCGCAAGGTTTCAGATTGTATGTTTTTGGTATGAACATTTGAAAATAAAGAACCTGTACCACATGGGGTCTGAAAAATTTTTGTCTGACATCTAGGGACATAAAAATTTACGTCACATTTATCCTAAAGAAACTTACAGTTTGTCACATATGCTTCCAGTGGCGAGGACTCTGATGAAAAACGTATTGGGGATGCACAGTCATTTGCTCACCGACTTTATCCCAACTGGAACTTGGGAGGAGAGTGCCACGATGTTGTACTGTTAATTTATTCTAAGCATGAGAATGTAGTAAGTACACATACTTTGTTTATTGGTTAATTTAGTTTTCAAAATGTTCAAATTTAGATGGTTGAGTGGATATTATAGAAATGAACATATCAACTCAGAAGAATGGAAAACTTTTTGTTATAGAATCTTAGTTAGAATGTTATAAATGTTAACAACATTAAGTTGGGTGTTATGCTCATTTTCACTTACTAGTACTATAATCCAGCCTCACTTCTTTAATAATTAATTCCTTTGAGGTTAATTTGTGTTTATTCATCTAGATCAAAGTGTAAAACAATGTTAAAAAGGCAATCCAAGATAAAGCTATTTGAGGCAAGTTTCTCAGAAAAATTAGGTAGCATAAAGTATAGAAAGCACTGACATTTATGGGTTGGTTTCAGTTGTATGTGGCCACTGGTCCAGCAGCTAGTCAAGTTGTCAGCAATATGGATCTGAACAGAATCTTGGCTGACTCTCGACAATATTTCTCCAGTGGCAATGATGAAAACAGCAGAAGAAAACTTAAAGAGGGACTTCAAAGACTGATAAATGATTTCAAGTAAGCATACATTGGCTTTTTATATGAAACATATAAATGTTCACTTTTTTATCTATTGCATTTTTCTTTTTGTTTTTATTCAAAGGAATCAACATTCAAATGCTGTTGCATGTTTAGATAAAGAGGTTGCCTTTTTTGGGGGGTGAGGCGCTTTGCTTGTCAGCATTGTTTCACTTGCCAACACTGGTAAGATTTCTTTTCAGACATGTTTTTGATGAAAAATTAAATATAGCAAGAAAACCACCTTAAGACACACTTCGTTATTTTATCTTATGCTGGGTTGCTTAGGTCTTGTTTAATCACCCTTACAGAAAAGTTCCATGTTAATTTCAGCTGACTACAGCAGCAAATGCATTAAGGCACAATTTTGTTGTGCAGCACTGCCCCTTCTTTCCATTAAATATATAATTTTTTTTTATCCCACAGCAGAAATAAGGTCATCATTTGAGAGATTTTACTTGCAAATTAATATAAATAATGAAAAGGAGATGGCTGTCAAAGCATTGTTTTCCTTCGCATTGCAGGACTGCTTTCATTCGTGGCCAGTATATTCCACGCAAATGGCATGGGGGGAGATCAGAGTACAGCCCAGGGTCAGCTGGCCAGTCGGGCAGAAGATCGTCTGCTTTCATGAATACTTTCAGTGGATTGTTAACAATGACAGCTCTTTTCATTTCCTTCCTTGTGATTTACTAAATTTGTTGCAAGTGAACACAAATTCAAGCGCCAGCTGGTCTATAGCTTTTGCTGCTCTGCCAAAGTTTACGGGTCTATCGGTGGTTCCAAGGCATGGCCCTATTACCGTACCAAAGATACCACAAAAGTCTGTTGACGGTGCTACAGTTTATACCAAAGCAACCCAGCATTGAAAAAAATGTTACAAATGCTCTTTTTCAAAATCTGAGAGACATTAAAATAATTCTAGTCTTTGTATTTAATGAGAATTATGTAATTTAAAGTAAATTATATGTTTTTGCCTTTGACTCTTGCAGAGAGCATTTAACCGGACAAAAAACAAATATCGAATACAGAATTGAAGCTCAGAAATCCAGTGGAAAGAGAAACACAGTACAGCCAATAATCTTGATGACTCTTGCCATAAGCTTCTTACTGCAGATATTCAAGTAAATATACAGACTTACCAAATGTTCACATTTTTATGTGAAAATCAGTTTCCAAGAGTTCTTTAAAGAAGTTGTGGTCCCTGTGCTCTTAGCAAAAAGGGCTTGAAAATATAAAATATTCTGTAATTAGACATTTTACAGGGCAGTGCCAATTATATTTTAATGTTCATACAGGTGTTTATGCTCATGCACTAAGTTGAAAGTAGTGTTCACATCGTTTACAAATGTTTTTGAATACAAGTAGTTTTTCATCATGCATAGGCTGTAATAGAATTTGCTTTTACACATATTAACTTATATAACCTAGACACTGCATTTATATCAAATATGATAATTTATTGCATTTAGGTTAAATGTATTCTGTTCTGTGCTTTTTAATACAAATAAATAAAATTAATCTTGCAGCATACGTTATAACTTTACCTGTAGAATATATAATTATGTATAAAGCTTGTTATTTTACACTTTCTTATACCAGTATTGCAAAAAGGGAAAAGTTACCAATGACACTAATATTTCACACTTAAATCAAGGAAAATAAATTTTACCATATTAAGATGATTGTCATAAAAATATTGAAATTCAAATAAAAGTTACATTTAAACATTATTGATTTTTGTTTGTATAACCAATACATTAACCATAAAATTTATTAGAAAATGTTGTGTTGTTTATTAGTCCTGTTTTGCCGCAGAATCTGATAAAAATATCTCTTAAAAACAATCCAAATAAAATGATATAAATTATAATATACAGCGTCAAAACAAAATGGCATTTATAAATAGTCTCTAAAATAGTAAAATCTTTTTAAATAAAAAAGCACTTTAAACTGCAGTATCTCTTTCTGATTTCTTTCTGTTAAGTACAGGAAAAGAAGTGCTTGTAGACGGCCGCGATACAAGTAAACTGTCCAATGCCGTTTCCTCCTCGACATTTCTTTCAGTGTGTGTAATTCCATGTAGAACTGCAAGAGTAGGCAAGCTTTTGTACTGAAGTCCCGTATCACCTTCATTGGTAATTTCATCAAGACAAGTGGCCACAATTTCTGTCAATTAGAAAAAAAGAATTGCTGTGATCTTTTTTTTATGCAAAAAAGGGCTATAAAAATATCAAAGCCATTATTTGGACAAAACAAACAGCCACATTCAAAATAGCAAAGGCCCGAAAGACTACCATATCACAAAGCACCTATACCAGGAGTACAAAGAAAATTTTGAAGGTAATATACTTCAGATCTAAAAGTAAGGACATTGAAACATATTCCAGGTAGTGTACTACAGTCGCAAATAGAAGAGCAGAAAGGTTAAATAAAAAATCAATACCTACAATAATCACATCACAGAAACTCATGCAGAGAAGGTCTCTGTAATGTTTTTAATCTTCATGTTGAGTTACAATATTTTAAATAGATGATCTTCAAATGTAAAAAAATCGCACGTTACAAATTTTAACTTACCCATTTCCAATGTACATAGATCAGCTGCCCTCAAGTTCTCTAAAGACAGTGGGGAATTTAGGAGATGTCTGTTCATCATGAAAAGCTTACTTGCAATATCTCTCCCAATCACATTCTCAAATATGGCACTGAGGAATGGCTCCTTTGATAGAGCATTTTTGATCCTGCTCTTGGACCAGCGAATGTAGCGACAGTCCTCCAAAGCCACTATAGTCACCTGAATAATAGGTATTCATATCTTCATCTACATAAGTTAGAAAATTTGTTTTCCATTACTTTTGAGATGATTAATTTGAAAGGGGTTAAATGAATTTCATTCTTGCAATAATGGTACATGTTTCCCCTTTTTCATTGTACATACTTCAACCAAATAAATACTTTTATCACTACTTACCGGTATCTACCAGTATCAGTTTCTAAATGAGCTACTGCATGCTGTAATATTAATACTGTGTAGATATATGGTTAAAATTATAAGTAACTGAGACTATGTTATTCTCCAACTAACACAAACAGAGCACAACAAAATTTAGTCAAGTTCATACACTAGTAGAAAGTTTTTCACCCTGTGTACACATAATGAAATATAAGTAAGAGGAACATAATAGTGAATGAATTTTCATGCAACCAAGTACCTTAAAGCAATCATGCTCAGTGAAAGACACATACTCAGGAGAGTCAAGGAACTGAAATTCACTGATTTCATGAGCAAACTTGCCTGTTATTGATACTGACATTCTGAAACAAGAAAGTGAGGAAGTATAGAGAAAAAGCATTTACTTAAGTTAACAGTGCTGATTTTATTGCCTTCTGAATCTGGGTGGCATACCAGTATGTAATTATACAATACTATAAATAAACAATTACAATTATATATATAGTTCCCAGTTTGAAAAAAAAAAGATTTTTCTCAAATTTAAATGCCATCAAAAATGCACTTGCCTCCCAGAGATGAGGAGAGACAATCCACTAGTTTTAGTTGACCCTTCTGTGGCAAATAGTTCCCCTTTATTTACACTGAATATGCCATCATGGAGATCCACTGCTTTTTTGAAAAGATGCCTTGGAACTTTCAGGGGTTTAAATAACTGCTCATACATCAATTCAATCTCTGGTGGAAAAGAAAGTGGTCTAAGGTGATAGATAATGAGCACTGCTTGTACAAAGTTGATTATAGCTAAGAAAAAGTTCCATAGGAAAGTGTCAAAAGCACACAGCACGTCCCATCCCCAAACTGAAAAAAATATTGACGCTATGCAAAGAACAGTCCTCAAGAACAACAAGCCATATATTCCATTTGGCGCCAAGTAGGAAAGTAGAAGGCAAACGTTGGCCATTTGAAAGTACACATGATTTGGTGGCAGCCATTCACAACCCATCCAAGAAGTCGTGGAGATATTGTCAAGTAGAGATTCATTGGATACTGCCCCCATTATGACATAGCTTGATGGATCTGTTGTGTTTTCAAAGCTTATCTTCATTGTGGCGAGATTCTGCGTGGGCATCTACAGGCTACAATTCAATAAAAGGCAGCATAATAAAAATGAGTGGTGTATTCAATTTCAATTAAAAACAAACTAAACGCTAAAATACTTGTGCTGAAAAAAGTATTGGGTAAAAAGAACAGTAGTGTCTAACTTAATTTTCAAAATAATGATCACTGCTATATATAAGTCATATTATTAAAATTAACTCATGCATTAGATTCTATTGTTACTGTTATCATAGAAGTAGAGAACCGGTAACTAAATATAACCACGTAGTTAAAATGTCATTGGTTCACGATATTACATTAAAATGTTTTACCCCCTGTTAGCTTTGTGCCAGTAGATTCGGATACGCAACGTTTAACAAAAGGCTTCTAATTCCTGGCTATAATGACATTTTCTTCTTGTCCGAAATAGCTCTGTTCAGTTTTTGTCGTGATAATAAAATTTTGCTGATTAGTTCTTCAAACTAAAGCATACTTTTAAACTCAAGGTAGCTGGTGACAAAGTCAATTGATAAATAAGATTCTTAACATAAAAATAATTATTTTAAAGTGTACGTAATACAATTTCAAATATAGCTATAAACTTTGTAATTGGACATTTAATTATTACTGTCCGTTTTTGCCACGGTGAACTAATCGAAAAGATGTGCGTGAAGTGTGTTTGTTGAGATTGGGGGAACTTGGCGCGTGTGGGAATCAAAAACATTCCGTTTACAATTGTGCTCACCGTGCATTGGAGGTATTTCAATTGAATTAATTTTGGTACATTTCGCTTATTTGTTTGTTTGTTTGTTTGTGTTTTTTTTTTGATGAAATTTATTAAAAAGAAGGATTTAAGTCACTAACGTAAATGCTTTTCACCAGTTATAAAATTTATATGCATGCTTTACCTCTCAACTCACATCTGATTTATTCTTATTTCTGCACCTCGATCTTAAGGTGTGTTTATAATATTTTTATATCATCAAGAAAACCAAGTCAAAACACATCAAAGCCAAACAAACAACGATTTGAAGTCGTTAAAAGAACCCTAGCCAGAATCCGAATAGGCCTAACGATTATCTTGGGCGTTTTTTTTTTTTTACTCTGAAAGTTCTTTGATCCGAACATCTAGTGAAACGAGGCCTTTTAATTCCGAAAAGCTTTCTCCTAGAAGGCCATTTGCTCTTAATTTTTATCGCTGATAGAAACCTTATCTTTGAATAAGCAGCTGTATAGTAGTATACGCCAGTAGCCATGTTTGGGTGTGACATATGAATAAGGCGTGGTCCTTCACTCCTAAATATCACCCTTGTTATAGACCTATAGAAAATAATGCAAAAGAGTTATGCACGCTTCATACTGACAAAAATGAACGAAAAAGATATGTATCAGTTGGAATCGTCTAAATGCTATTAAGGATATGTAAACGGTTTTTATATTCTCGATTTAGCATCAAACGGTCATCAACAGGCAAACGTTTTCTTATCAAAGTGAGTTCAGGTCATGTTCAGGCGACAGTTATTCCATTTTTTTTCTTATAAGTGGGTTAATACGAAAGCAAGCCTTAATGTAATTTTTATAAGCCCTTATTAATCTAATCCTTTTTGCGGAATTGTCAAAATCATTATAACTTTTAAATGGCATCTGTTCTCCCTTACATTTTATGGGATAATTTCGATAAGAACCAATTATTATAGAGACACTGGAACTGGGACATTAACCTTGTTTTGCAATGACAGCTAGTGAAATAGGACACTACTCGACATTTGTTATGCATGGTGGCCGTTAATATCCAATATTGTAAGTAAACACTTTTTCACTTTACTGCTGTCGAGGATTCATAGCGTGTGCGGTGCCTCGTTTGTTAAAACGTCCTTTGGGCAGTCTTCGTTGTCCTTTGACTCCCAACCGTGACGGAGACAAGCCAAGACAGAAATCGTAGTGCATACAGTCACATGACTGATATATATTTATGAGTGAATATATATATATATATGTATTGCGTCTCTAGTGTACCGTCTGAAGTGGCACCGGGGACATAAGTACAATAATTGAAGCAAACTTAAGAAATTTACAGCGATGGAGACGACCATTCCTGCACCCCACGAAGGTTACTTTGGCCCCCCTTACGGAAGCCACGAGCAGTGGCAAAACAGAGCATACAACATTGTCGAGGAACACTTAGGAAAGGAAGATTTCGAGAGAAGATTAGCCAAGCAGTTTCAGGTATTTTGTTTTTTACAAGATTTAGGTTAGGTGAGGTCTGTAACATTTTTACCGCGAATAGTACTGTGAATTGTACTCTTGAAGCACCTGTGCTTTATTTAAGAAATATCATATATCGTATGCACTGAGGTTTGACAGGTTCATGCTGGCGGTTGATGCCATAAGTATATGCCTTCCTCCGTGCTGAGATTATTATTTGTCATTATTCTTGTTGTCAAGCTTAACACGTGTAGTTTTTTTTAATGTAATTATGTGTTTGGCTTTGCACACTTTTGTCGCGAGGCAGTTGGGTACGTCGTATAGTTGTCTTTTGTCACAGTGGATATGTTCACTGCAATAAGAACAGGTTTTGCTTGATGTAGGCCTACCTTTGCAACATCAATGCTTCATTTACTAGTCGACCCAGGCGACATTCAGTGCACGCAGGCATTCGATACACATATACAAATTTAACAAAAAAAATCCAGCCAAGTATAAAGAACCATTTCGAGCTTTTCATAAGATTATAAGATACACTATTACAAATAGATAACAAGATGCCGAGGTCACTGCCTCCATAGAATTCTTTCCTCTGACATTTCAAGAATTATTAGAACGTGTCCTCTAGGTCAGCTAAGCAAATTTCACCAGCTTCTGTTTGTTCATCTGCCTTGTAACCTTGACAGTCATGGCGAGAAGATCATATATCGCATTTGCAGCAATTTCCCTTTAAACAATGATGCATAATGAACATAAAGAGATGTATTATAGTATTGAAAATATCAATTTACTGCATATCATAAGGCCGTCTATATGCCTATTATGGAAAATCGAGTGCTGTAAATAAGAGGAGTATATAGTCTGATCAAATACAAATCGGAAATTAAACCTAAATCCACATTGCAGTAAGCAGGGCCCGCATTAGCTTTATTTAAAGTCTCGTGAATATTTCACGATGACATCAGACGATAGGCCAAAAGTTTACGTTCTATCATGGCCATGCTGAAAATGATCAAACTTATGAACAAGAAATGTAACGTAAATGACAGATGTAGGCCCATTAGAAAGTTTTTTTTTTTTTTTTTTTTTTTTTTTTTTAATTATGAAGGCCTTTACAAAGCACGTTGAAGGTCAGTGCATGTACCATGCATGCAAGTAATTTACTTTGTAATTACTTTATAAAGTAATTTGCAAAATGTACCTGCCTTTTCACTTGAAATATGTTTTAAACCCCATCTAAAACTTGCCCCCTGTGCCATAAGGTTCTGTTGTACCTATTCACTTTTTGTTTTTAATATTAACAGAAAACAAAGCACAAGTTTTCTTCTGTTTATATATTACAATATGAATAATATATATATAAATAAAATTGTAGGACGGTTACAATACTCCGACTTGGTTGAGCGGTTTGAAGTTGTCATGGAAGTCTACCAAGATCAGGAACCTTTTTGGTCTAGATTCCATAAAGGGGAACGGATCATTCACCTATCATTCTAGCGTTGGAGGAGCGGGGTTCGCTGTTTTATCCGAGGTAAAAATCTGTGTGTTATGGAACTAAAACTCATTCTTTCCAAGGAATATCGAAAACAATTTAGCAACGTTATTTAAATTATTTCTAATGAAAAAACTAGTTTACATTTTTCTTTTTTTTTCCTTTCTACTACACAAAGAATCTCAATATACCAGAAAACGATTTCTTCAAACCGGGAAAAGTGTTCCCCATACGCATGCGCCATGCAAATCTGTTCACAGACGACGATGCAAGTTGCGACTTTCGCTTGGCAAGTTTGAAGTTTGCTGATGAGGACGGCGGAGGGCCTCTTGATTTGATTTTCTCAACAGGTCGAATGCCTTTATTCTACAACTTGGCCGAATTAGAAAAGCTGGACGGAGCTCTAGGAAAACAAGAGGACGGGTTTAGGAAATGGTTGTTTGAGCGTCCCATCAAGTGAGTTGATGCTAGATATCACTATACTTATCTTTTTTTCTGACGCTTTTTGGCGGTTTTTCATCACTTCGATATTATATCGTTTAGGGTAGATATATCGCCTTTCTGCTATATAGATTATCACAGAGTTATAAAAACATTTTGCTACTTCTATGATATTTATATTTTTTGAAATAATGCGGATCATTTTGCTCGTAAATTAGCATTTTTTATTTCACTTGATTTTCCTTGTGTGTTTGTGTGTGTGTGTGTGTGTGTCAGACTTTGTTTCAAGTGCCCATACCGTACACTTCTCCTGTCATTTTTTTTTCATGTGCGTTATATACTTTCGTGTACTCCGTATCTTTCGCATGCAGTTATTGGGCAGCTGTGGACGGTATGAGACGCGCACCGACTTCATATTCATCCCAGGTTTATTACAACCACTTCACCTATCACATGACGTTTTCTGACGAAAGCACCGAATTGGTTCGGTTTCGACTGGTTCCCGCCGCGGATGTTTCAGAAAGTGGGCTTCTTAACGAACAGCAGCAAAAGCAAGCTTGGTAAGGTCGAATATTTCGATATTTAATCTATCGGCTTCACTCTTGTTAAAAATGTGAAATGTTATTATTTCAAACCATGTCCACCTACCTAAAACACCATAGGCTACAATGACCCGTTCATCATTTCACAAATTTGAATTTATCTTGAAATAAGAACATGGAATTATAATAAAAGACTAATGATTTTGTTGGTTGATGTATCTTCTAATTTGACGTTATCAAAATCATATTTTCAGCAAGCGTGATAAAAAATCTTTAACCCCGAAGCCAAATCGATGATTTTAAAACCACTTTTCACCATTTCGAAACAAATAAAAATTGCTTTTCATAATTCCCATGATTCATTTTATTGAACATTGTATATTCAGGGTCAGAGAAAGACATTCAGATATTGGTAATCGTGAGAGCTACCTGAGTGAGGAATACGAGTCTCAGGTTGAGAAGCACGGTGCTGTGAGGTGGATTCTACAGGTAGTGGTCTAAACTTTTAATTCACAAACTAAGGAGAAGTCCCACAACTTGACATTCTGAAACATTCTGTATTATATGCAAAGATTTCGGCTCAGCTGATAATTACTTTGTACGTGCAACTGAAAGAAAATGAATGTGGCAAAATTTGCATTATGAAGCTGTTCAGTAGTTGGCTGTTCAGTTATAATATTGCTCAAGTAAAGTGATAACTGCATGTGATCTGCCTTTCAATTAAGAAGATTTAAGGTATACACTTATCTACTTGTAAGCAATGATTGAAGTTTGCCGTCATTCAGTCACCCACATCTCTCAATATGTGTACAGGTACAGCTACATGATGTGACCGAGCTTTCCGGCTACAACCCATGTGAGCTATGGGACCCCGTAACCCATCCATGGCGCAATGTGGCGGACGTCTTTGTAACAGGAATTCTCCCTGCTCAATTCACCGACAAGATGGACTTCAACATAGACAACAGGCCCGATATCCTCTCATTTCCTGAGGCGAAATCTGTTTTTGATTTCAAGTCCGCCAACAAAGCACTTCAAATTATGTATGAATGTCACCAGACACGGATGCAGCGTCGACAAGTTCTTCAAGACCCTGAGGAGAAAGTTTCCTCCTATGTTATCACGTTGGAGTCGGGACAACAGAGCCGTTCCGGTACCCTTTCGTCAGTACAGGTAACACTGCAAGGTACGTATGGTATAAAGACACCCTTTGCGCCATTGTAAATATATCATCTCAGACATATTGCAGAGCCGAGTCGAATCGGTATGTCGAAAAAAAGAGTTTTCTAAAGCGGTGCCTAGCCCGTAGTTGCTTACAAAAAGCTTCCCTTTCCAGGTAAAACCAGACGCACAGGCCGACACACACTGAGCAACGTTTACCTGACGTCAGGACTTCATGTGCACCTTGTCAAAGACCGGTCGATAGGCAACTTGATTGCAATACAAGTTGACATCCGTCATCGGTTGTCCAGTGATTGGTACCTCAACCGACTTTTAGTGACTTGCTTGGAAAGGAACGAAACTTATGTTTTTCCTTGCTTTGCTTGGTTCACTGACGATAACAAAACCATGGTTCTAAGACCAGATCCGGCAGGTAAGGTATATCTTTTAAGAAAACACTAATATCACACACACAAACACACACACACACACACACACACACACACTGACAGTATACAAGTACTCTTCATCAAGATGCGATTAAGAACCAATGTGGCCCCTGAACCATTGTCAACCATTGAATTTCATTTTGGATTAGTATTGGTGTTTTCATGAAATTTTCTCTTTTTTAGTGTCTCTGCCTCAGATGGAACAATACACCAAGCTTGCGGTAGTGCGCAAGTGGGAGCTTCAGAAGAAGAAAGAGCAGTATCGCTGGGCAGATTCAAAGACCGTGGTCAAAACTCAGGTGGGAAATCTAATGTCAATATTGCATGACTTCTAAATGTATTAGTTGGAAGAAACATATTTTTTAATTGTTGTTATTATTCTCATGACTACTACGTTACCTTCGCCAGTTTCTTCGTGGGAAAGAAGGAAGAAGCTGCAAAGAATACGAATGTGTTCTTTACGGTAAAGAAAAGCGACATTTATCCTATTGGAAATGGTGGAGGGATATATGTATGTATGACATATAAAGTTTACTTTAACCAGGTTTATGTCGCTCAGGTTGAAGGGCACAATGAAGACAACCTCCCAGGGCGGATCGCTGTGAAAGAAATGAAACATCTGCCTAGAGATGCCCAAATACCTGAGGAACGTATAAAACACTTCTGGCACAACCTGAACGCTGGGTTCCTCAACCTCCAACTGGGGCGCCTGGCATCTCTGATTAGTGAATGGAAGCACACTGACGACTTTAAAACCATGGTGAATAGGCTTTTGGAGAAGACTGATACCATGGACTATGTTATGGAGCATTGGACTGAAGATAAAGAATTTGGGCGGCAGATGTTGGATGGAACGTATCCAACGCTCATTCGTCGGCTGGCAAGTCTTCCACCTAACTTCGTTGTGCCAGATGACGCTCTTGTTGGTGTACTTGATAGGGGACGCACTTTGGGAGAAGAAATCCAGGTGAAATATTAATTAATGTTAAAAATAGGGTCACGATTGAAAGAAAGTTAAAACTGAGATGTCAGTATATTTACAAAATACTAAAACCCAAAGCAATACTCGTTTCTATAAGTTTTCAAACTTACACAATTTATATTTCATCCAGGAAGGGACTATCTTCATGGTGGAGTATCCAGACCTGCAAACAGTGCTGCGTTATCCAGACCGTTACGTAGCAGAAGCCACCTGCCTCCTGTACGTACGCTCTGACGGAGCTTTGGTTCCAATCGCAATACGTCTTCAACAGTCCTCCGACAGCCATGAGCTGATTTGGACCCCCAACGACAGCCCGATGGACTGGCTGTGTGCCAAAATTTGGGTGAAGTGCGCCCACTACCAGTACCATCAAATTGTTGGCAGGATGATGTGCAGGTTAATGTTGGAACCAATTGCGGTGGCATTGAACCGTTGCTTGTCTGTGGCTCACCCCGTGTATCAGCTACTGCAGTCCCATCTTAAGACCGCCATTGGAATCAATGTGATGGATCGCCAGGTCTTTGGAGCGGGGTACAATGAATTTCTAGCAATTGCTGACGGGGGACACATCGCCCTGTTAAAGAAAACCTACAAGAAATTCACCTTCAAGATTTTGAACCTGCCGCTGGATCTGGAGACCCGTGGTGTTGACGACCCAGCAGTTCTACCCAATTATCACTACCGCGACGATGCGTTGGCCCTCTGGCAGGTAATCCGGCAGTTTGTAGAAAAGATGATCTCACTTTTCTACCACTGCGACTCAGACGTCGCTGGGGATGAAGAAATCCAAGCTTGGATCGACGAATGCCATTCTAAGGGATTCCTCAACTGGGAAGAGAACATCGACCACGGGTTTCCCGACAAGATCAGCAGCTTGGAAGAGTTATCTGAGATACTGACCAGTGTGATCTTTACGGCAACTGGTCAGTATGCAGCTCTCAATTATTCACAGTATGATTACAATACGTTTGCTCCCAATATGCCTTCCACAATGAACAGACCACCACCTAAAGAAAAGGGCGTCGTCACCATGAAGTCGATCGTAGAAATGTTGCCAACCAGACGACAGACCGCGTTCTCCATTGCTGTTGCGTACGCGATGTCTCGGCACGAAGGGGGCGAAGTGAGTGTCAATCGTCTACTGGTACCAATTCGTGTGATCGTTTATAATAAAACGAAAGTAGCTGTTTTTAACGGTGTAGATATTGCATGACGATGGCTAATCATAAATTGATAAGACTCAACATTACGTTTTATTAGCTCAATGTTGACGAAAACATAAATGAAGATTCCTTCACGTCCAGACTTATTACCTTTTACACGTAATTGGCCTTATTCCCCATATTTTTAAACAACAGTTACAATTTTTGTGTTTATGATTGTTTTTTTTCTTCTTAAAATACTAGGTGCTGCTTGGGAATTATCCAGAGTACAGTTTCACCGAGCCTGGGCCGAGAAAGGCAGTGGACAATTTCCAGGGGGATTTGAAGAAGTTATCCAGTGCTATTCATGTACGCAACAGAAAACTTGCGGTTCCGTATCGCACTCTCTTGCCTGAGAAAATCCCCCATTTCATTGCCATATGATGAGTCTAAGGCCGTTTTGTATAACTTCATACTCGGAGCCCCGAGGTTTCATGAGGTTTAAGAGGCGGTTCTCCTCCTTATTCTTCCCAACGTCACTTTAATGACCTAGCGCACGTGATGTGTGTGACAGTTCAGAATGAGCAAGATAAATACACAGATTCCAACGCTCCAACTACACTTTATCAAGTTTAGATGCCTAGTACTGGAACTTTTTTAACCTACGGTGATACGAATGATATTCAAGGGTTTCAAAAACCCACGTCAGCAAGTTTATACAACTTTGCTCAATATATTTTGTATATTTATATGGCGAAGGGTTTGTAAAAGTAGCAGCAGTAGCGGGGAAGGTGCACATGCTTTTAGCTTTTAGGGGACTGGTGATGGTTTTTTTCATCCTTTTAAGTCTGTTCGAGGGAGACCTACTTTTCCTTTTAAATAGAGAAAATACCAGCCCCTGCCAAAATAATGTCTACTAAGTGCGCCACAATAAAAAAATCCAATGTGTAAAAAAGCAATTATTTACTGGTCAATAGGGTGATGGTTTAAGTAGCGAGTAATTGTTAAATAATTCTTGAAAATGTGTTTGTACCAAACTGTATCCTACCGAAGACATTTCAAACTTACTGTATTAAGTTTTGCTTTTTATTTGCTTCTACAAAACATTATACAGCATTATGCTGCAGCAATAAACAAATTGTACAACATGCAGTACGTTCTCTATAACCACATGAACTATGCTAACTTCACTTTTTTTTATACAAAATTGAAACTGAGACAGATATTGACGATGAAATAACTGTTGCTTTGAACAATAAGTGTATCATTAATATAAAGTGATATACGTCTTCCAGTGCCTTTCTCCACATTCTACATTAAGCTACCTATTCAACATGGCACATTTAAGGTAAAGCTCACAGAGCTTGCCATTATGTAAATGCTTTTTATAACTTCATATGTACAACTACACAAGTGAACTACAATATCAGCAACAAGTGAGCTTTTTATATTATTTTACAATGTATGTATTATTCATCAGATGATTAAAAACAAGATGATTCAAATCTTTTAACTCTTGTGTTATTCTATAACAATTGCTGCAAATTTGTCAGTGTGAAAATTCACCCAAAGAGATGTTTATATTGCTTTTAAATGTTCTTTATTCTCCACCACTGACTTTCACGTGCATTTAAATTATCTATATACAATATTGTCAGAAAATACTCATATATTTAAAAAAATGAAAATCTGTGAACACATTCTTCTACAAAATTATGAAGCTTGTTAATATACTCCCTGCGAATCAAATAATCATGTTACACAAACACCAGAAATAACTTACATTCAATGCAAGCATAATTATTTGGTAAATTCACCTCTTAATTACAGTTTCATTCTGAAAAGATGACATTTACAGCTTGAAAAGGTGTGATAAAAACCTAGCAAGATCAGAGAATTGCTTTAACCTATTAATGTTACATGCACATTTACGAACAGACAATAAAAAATTATATCTTGTTTATGTTTTTTTTAACACTTATTCATCATATGTATTAGTCTTAAGGCTGTAAACATGGTGAAGAACTTTTCAGCAAATCAAGTGTTTAAAAATGTGCTGACATTTAAGGCAAATCTAGATTAGGATTACAGAAGTACAGGCCACTTTTCATTTTTACCACCAAAGAATTTTAGTAAACCATATGTAATGATCACAATTTTTATGAGCATGTTATGACAGCACAGGTCAGCAAATGCATACTCACCGAAATAATTGTTTCTACTGCTCATCTTATTTAAAATTATACCTGACAAACCTGAAGTATCTAAATTAGCTTTTTCTTGTGTCTTAAGTTCCAGTGTTATGCTGGTCTGTGTTGTTGTTTTTACCATATAAGAGCATGCCTGTAGTATTATATGTTTCAAAACTTCTATTCATACCTGAGAAAAGCACATGGCTGCCATCAAGCACCATTCAGCAATTTAAAATGATAGAAGTCTGAATCTTAGACCTCAGTTCTTTACAGTTCAAAAATTACAAAGCTGATCCTAAGAGTTTACAATTCAATTCATCCTGTCTTAAAACAATTTACAAACCTTGTAAACATAATTTTCATGGAGATCAATGCCCATATCCACATTTGCAGTGCCATGGGCACCTTATCAAAGCAATAACAAAGTGTATATAATATATATATTCATACTAAAAATTATAATAAACAATAACAAAAATTTAACCTTATGTATCATCTTTCTTCCTTCTTGTATATTGAACCATAATAAATATATAATCAGGCATTAAGTGAGGCAGATGTTCTATCTACAAAATTCCATGCAATAGAACACCCAATTCACAAGAATAAGTTTGAAATAAATATGTAAATTCTCAATGGTTTATTTTGAAATTGAGCGAAGAATCAGTTCTGTTGCTACAGCATTTGGCAAACTCTAAACCACTGTGCAGAAACGACCCTCTCTATAATCAAAATGCAAGGTCTGCCATGCTGTAGAACTCACTTGTCTTCTCCACTTGTCAAAAACTAACACACTCTACAGACAGTGCATGTGAAAACTCTAAAAGTGTTCACATGGCCATCTGAGACAAATGCTTAACACCAACGTGGAAGTCAGAAAACATGCTAACTTGCCAAGTGTTAAAGTTCTGCTGACCACATACCAACTCCGCCGGACAGGTCACATTATTTGTATGGATGACTCCAGATTCCTTAAAGCTGTCTTCTATGATGAACTACAGCAAGAAAAAGAAAGGTCTGACGGCCAATGCTTTGCTACAAAGACTGCATTATATGCCACTTGTCAACTGCCAATTTTATCAATTCCTGGGAGAAAGAAGTTAAAAACTGTTCTATCTGGGCTATTGAACAATGTTTAGAGAAAGAGAGAGAGAGAGAGAAACAGTTCAATACAGTAACAGTGAAGTACATGGGCCTACTGCTGACAGTGACAGGACCACTCAACATCAATTCCATGCCAAGACCGTGGAAGATCCTGTGCTGCCCACATTGGGCTCATCCCCATGTTGCAGTTGAAATACTCTTAATGAGTGACAGCCAATGATAACGATGATGAAAACTTTGTACACAAATAGCACCCAAGTATCTCTGGCCTGGCAATACATTATTGCTTCATAACATTAAAGCTTTTATATGATCTTCCTGTTTCAATTTCAATCATTATAGAGTTCTGGGACGCCGAAATATAATACTTTCCCCTTTGTTATATCAACATGCCTAAGCTTGGTTCAGCTTTTTCATTCCCGATGAAACTTTTGTCTTATTAACAGTTTTAAGTACCAGCTTTATGGAAGGAGTCTCAGCCTGGTTTCTTGCCAACTGCAGCTTGTGCCTGCTCTGGTACACGGGAGGGGTCTGACAGTATGGATGTTGATGTACTCAGCTGGCGCAATGAGTTCAGAACACCTGAGGAGATATACACAGCAGAGGTAAATTTGCAGTGAAATATTTTGTTATGGCAGTTTCAAGCCTTATTTGATACAAAAAAGTTAAAAATGACTTTCACTGTGTGATTTTTAAAAAGCATTCATTACTCATGGTGAAAAAGGATATTTTCAAATAAGCCAATAAAACATAAACAAATTTCTGTATAACTACTTATATTGACTACCCACCTGGTCTGAGAGCTACCAGTGAACAATGCTGGTCAAGCCAAGCCAACACAGTCCGACACAGCTCCTCAGCACTGGCTGTGGACACCATGTTATTGTAGGAGTCAAACAATGGGCGGATTATTGTACTGAACTGAACACTATGGTTAAGGGTATCACAGATTAGACAATACTACACTTTAATTTTCTTTATTTTATAACAATACTAGTCAGTAATTTGTGTAAATATTACTTCTAGTGTTAATATCTTAACCATGAAGGACATTCGGCCTAACACAAACATTCTAGAACAGCCAGCAAAGAAACTAAACAACATGTCTGAATATGCACAGGCTTATTTCTAAGATTATAACAAAGAAGTAATTTAATACAATACACCAAGGATACAATCCAAAATTTCCAGTTCTGAAGTGTTCTACTGCGCACATATTCATCAAACATTTCCCTCATCTGGTCTGCTCTCTGTCTTGTGACGGGGGCTCCAGTTGCTGGTAGCTGGGACTGGCATGTGCTGGAATTGAACAAATAAGTTCATCTTTATGGGACTGACAGAAAGGAATAGACAATCATGAATTTAGTATTTAACAAGTAAGCTGATGTCATGTTGACGGAGAGGTTGCAATCAGTATTCAGCATTCATTCTTATTTTAAAGAAAAATTGCAAATACTTCCTTATGCAGCAGTTTACCAGTTCTTTACATGAATCAATTTGAAATGGGAATCCTTACTTGATAGCAGAGTTGAGGGATTCAATTTCCTGCCTCAGGATTTCTGCCTCATCTTGCATCTGCTTTCTGTCAGATTTCAACTTTTTACAGTACTCAGCAGCTGAAATTGTGTCTTCAGTGTAAGTCTCAAGCTTATCTTTATTGAACAACAACCATATATGTGCCTATTTTACATAAGGAGTTAAAATGCTAACCCGAATGTTAAGGTTATTGCTGCTCTTAATTTTTCCTTGGCCATCTACTCTGCTAAAATGTGGTTCTCCTGTGAGATGCCACCCTCGCCACCTGGTGGCATCAGTGTGAACCAGTTTATGGTATATATCCCAAAGCATTTGAATTTAAAACTAATGTCAGTTTAACTACTCATACAAAGACTAAATTTAACACTTACTCTTCTGCAGCATCTGTGCCTTGCTTATTTTAGCATTTGGGTTCTGTATGAGTGCAGGAATTAGGGTATGCAAGACATCGAATCCACCCTGCTCAAATACAAAGACAAAGAAAACAGATCAAGTGTTAGTTTTTGCTGTGAACAAGCTATAAAATCAATACAATACCTGATATCTGATATTTTTTCCAGAAAATAAGTAAATGCCATTGGAAAATGTTATCTTCAAATCATGAATGCCTCACCTTTATATTCCCCCGTCTTTTTTGTTCTGCTGAAATATGGGACACTCTCCTATGTTCCTTGTACTGCTGGCGTTCATCCTCATTCTTAGGTCTGAATGCCTTACCAGGGGACTAATGATAAATAATAATAATTTTTTAAAAAATTCATTCAAACATTATCCCATCATATTTGACACTCTTTTCAATTCACTAAAATAAAAACATTTTGTTTTGTGTTCAACATTATATTCGGGTATTAAAGATTTTGAACTCACCGGCACATCTGAGTCAGGACTAGCTGAAGCAGTCAGGTAACCAGGTGGGGAATCTGCATCTATTAGGGAGAAAATAAAGGGTTCTTTAGATAACTTGCAAATTGCATAAATCTACTATCTATCTAAATCATATTTCTGTAGAGTTGTTTTTATCATTTTCAAAATATTTCAACCTAGTATGATTGACACAGCACAACAGCTAAATTACTATAACCAGAACCTAAGGACATTTTCAAATTCCGTCATAGTAGCTATTTTTCATGTAATTTTTCTACTCAGTATTTTCTACTTACTGTATTTATATTCTGGGGAGTTAGATAATGCTGTGTAATCTCCAGATGACAAACTAGAACCAGGTAAGGAGGTCACAGTGCCCAGCAGGGGATTCTTCTGAAGGCTTAGAGGGCTACTCATACTGCTGTTTTCCAGACTAGCAACCTAAGATCAAAGAAACTCAAGTTGAACTATCTATTGTCATGACAAAATGTAGCATAATTTGAAAGCGACAACTGACAAAATGTAGCATAATTTGAAAGCGACAACTAACACTTACTGTGTTATCAGAGCTTTCACAAGGAATTAAAATGACCAGCTGTCTGACAAAATCTTGATGTTCATATATCGTTTCACCTGTTTTAAATATAGACACAATACTTATAGATCAATCAGTGATTATGACCAAGGCAGCTCTTTAAACAATCTTTGGAAATGCAGACATAATGGGCCACTCTACAAAACAGATGTTGTGTGAAATATACCTACAAAACTACTGCTTATCTATAGATCTACAGAGGCCCTATTAAAACTAGAGATCTTAGTTAAACCAGATGTGCATGTGCCCGTTCCTATACTCACTGCAGCAATCATAGACATGCTATTTGTGGTGACGGCGGTGGTGGACACCGGTGGTGCAGGTCTTATGGGTGTGAACATCTTCCCTCCGCAAGATGCAGGGGTCTCTGTCTTCATGGTGATGTTGGCACCAGGATAAGTCCCTGAAATGTCCCCTTGGGTAAATAAATGACATGAAAATGTTGATGTTAGTACAAACATGCAAAGTGGAGTAAACATCTAAAATTAGAGTCTTAATATCATGCAGATTTTGAAATAGCTCTTGAACCAGAGAATATGGCATCATTGTGGAGTTTTTTGTTTGAAATTTTATGAAATAAATGTTCAAAAAAAAAAAAATTTTTTTTTTTGGGGGGGGGGGGGGAGGGAGAATAGAAGTGGGTGAATCTAGAGATTTCTTACATGAAGAAGATAACTACAAATTCATTTAGCTACACTTCCCCATTTTTGTTTTCTATCAATACACCCCTGCAGACTAACTGCTTCCTTCAGATAGTTTAGAGGATTCTGTAATGCACTAGGAATGAGTCTGAGTTGAATTTTCAACACTTTCACCAAATTCCAAACTAGTTCACTTCCTGTTATTCATTCAGTCTACCAATCAGCCAGTCAGTCAGAACTCTATATCCCCAAGCACATTTTTCAAATCATTAAAAAAGTGTCCTAAACCAATCTTTTGCCATCATAAAAATGGGAGTATGGCATTTGATTAGGTGATGAGTTTTCTTTTCATTATTTTTCATTAATTGAGAAATTTCTTTTCATTTGAGTAATTCTTTTCATTATTATGTATACAAATGAAATTGAGTCTTCAGTCATGTAATGGTTTGCTATCACAGAAATTGTTTATCATGGAACAAAGTACTCTCTCTCTGTGCTGTAATTATACATGTAGGCAGACAATTAAAAGGGTTGTGCTAATTAATTTTCTTAGATAGAAAACTTAATTATAACCAAAATTTTCGATGATTCACCTAAGGTAGGTCATTAGCCAAAGGAAAAAGCCACTTATAGATACATTCAAGATAGCAAATTAGAAATCAGACACTGCAGTAAACAGCAAAGAAAGAATATAATATTACAAAACATAAATAAGGAACAAAAGAACAAATGAATCAATAAAGGAAAAATGATTCTCTTTTGACAAACATCAGGTTCCTCAACAACAAAAAATAGGAAACAATCACATGAAAAAATCAGAAAGAACAATAATTTTCGTTCTTTGACATCACATAATATCTTGCATAATAACTAGACTACTGTCATCTAACAGCCAGTACCTGTTGTTAAGAGCTGTGCCAGAAATGTATTCTGCTGTGTAATGGAAGTTCCAGAGGGCTGCGTTGTCATGGCAATAGTAGCTGCTGGTGGGACAGTCGGAGCTGGGACAATAGTTCTTGGTTTAGCACGATTAAAAGTTGGTTTTCCCTAAAAAATAATCCAACATTTTGTGGTCTTGGTGTCTGGGTTATTCAAAGAAATCAGTGTTTTTTTTTTTTTTTTTTGGTTTTTTTTAACTATACAAGTTGACTGCTATTTTATTTCATATTACCAAATCTTTTAACATATTTATACTGAAAACAAAATCCTTGATTCACAACAGTACAGCAAATTTGAGTCAACTGCTAAAACTTTTCTTAATTGACAAAAGAAAACATGAAATAACATAGCCACTTTTCACCATATTTCTTTTTGATCTGCTTCATGCATTTGTGTAAAATAATGTCATTTTGATGACTGAGCTTGCCATAAATGAAAGAAAAACCAGTCTGTTGATGATATAATTCGTATAAAAAGTATCCACAAAAATGATCTTTCTTCTTTCATATTTAAAATGCATTTTTTTTTCATTTCAAGGCTCTTTTCTTGGAAAAGCTAGTAACAAGAACTTGGGGTATAAGTAAATGCACTTTTAAATGCCATATGTAAATTTTCAGCCATTGAAAGCCCCATTATATGCTCTTTTAATGGTGCCACTAAATGGATAGATCTAGGATGTTGATTCATACCTTTGGCACAACAAAGTCTCCATCTTTTTTGGCAACAGGCTGCTGCTGTGGCTTTTGGTGTTGCTGGCTTGCAAAAGTAACAGTTGCACTGGCTTTCTTGGTTTTGGCTGGTTTCTGTGAATTTAAAATGCTCTGAGCAGATACTGGTGGCTTCTGCACAACACGAGTCTGTATCTTGTTGATAGGTAATTTTCCAGTTGGTTGGGTATCATTCAATTTTACCAGAAAACTTCGCAGAGGCTGTTGCTGTGTTTGTTGTTGTTGTTGTTGTTGTACTTGTTGCTGCTGACTGAGTCGTTCAGGATGCACCGAAATTGGAAGGCTGCTATCCAGATCATTTTGCAAATTAGTGGTTCTATAATTCACCTTGGCCTTTGTACTGTCATTCTGACTTGCCACTGTCTGAATCTGTTGCAAGTTTGCTGCTGCCTGGTTATCATATTGCAATTGTAAATTTACACCAACATTATCTAACCCAATGTCTCTCTGCTGCTGCTGCTGTGAAAAAGATGGTGTTAAAATAGTCACATTCCCAGTTAAGGACAGTCCCTGGTCTTGCAATTGCAATTGTTGCTGCTGGTTAAGTGTCTGTGATGTCTGCTCCAGAGCTGTCAACAGACTCATGTCATCTGTCATTGGCATTCCGTCACCTTCTGGGACTGGCTGACTGAACATCTGCCCAGAGAAATAGAAAAGATGCACTTAGTTTATCATTACTCTGTACATCTCTGATCATTTGTCAATTGAAAGATATTTCAAATGCTACCATTTCTTCCACCCCAATTTCAAATTTCAGTTAAATATTTATATTATATAACCCCTAGGTAAAGGCACAACTACAGTTCACATGGCAAGAATTTCAATCATATCAATTTTCTTACTAGCAACATAATAAAAGTTATATCAAACTGAACAAAATGAGTGTAAATTATTTTCTTGAAGCTTGACCCAAGACTCATTCACCTGGTTTCTGAGAACACCTGCTGCACTGTTCATGTCAATAGTGGGCAGTGGTGACTGGGATGTGGTCAAGTTAGGGCTGGACATTGGCTTATGCAGGGACGTGATGATGTCTATAATATAGAAAACCATTTAAAATAGTGAAAAAAGAAATCCTTGAAAAACCATAAAGCATGGAAATCAGAACTCATATGTTTGAAAAATGTAAAGATACAGAATTACAAAGTCTTTTAAATAGATGAATAACAAACACAAAAAAGAAAGAAAAAAAAACTCAACAACTACTGTGTTAACACAGATGTGAAGTATTTTGAATATCTACCCAACCAAAAAATGTTGCCATAATAGTAATACTCAGTTTTATATAAATGACATGGTACTTTTCTCCTGTGATTTAAGTTTCCAGAGTTCAATATTAGATGCACTACCTTGTAAAGGCTCCAAGGTGTCCATGAAATCTTCCAATGCTGGCTGCAACTGTATCAAACCAGGCTGGATGAAGTCAGCATTACCCAGCAATCCTGGAAAAACGACATGAAGAATGCTTTCTTTTTTGTTTTACATGCTAGAAAATATAAATGCTTGATAAACCCGCATTTAGTTGCCATATTTTGCTGACATATAAAACAGAAGAAATAAATTTAACTTTTTACCATGGTTTGGTAAAAAAATTACTTGAAAGAATGATGTAATATCTTTTCATACTTCCAATGACATTTTTTTTTCTTTTTTTGCATGGCCTTACCCATTTCTTTTGGATTTGGGAAAGCAAAGGGCATGTTAAGGCTAGAAAACAAGGTATCCGTGAAGTCCATATAGAAGTCATCATCATTCATCTGGGGTGACCTAGGGGGCTGCAGAGTGTTGGCAAAACGGAATGAATCTTGTTCTGCCACACGTTGCAGGAGGTCAGCATGAGAAGGCTGAAATATATCAAATGAGTACTTTTAATTTAGACTTCTGTTTTCCCCCTTCATAATTCATTTTTTTCCGATAGGCACATTGTCTGTATAATAATGTACAGTAAGGTGGTTGTTTACTGCTGATTCAGTATGATTATGAAGTAACCCATTTGTTATAATTTCCCCACTTGGTAGCTGCAGTTGAATAATATTCTGTTAATTTGGCATACCACAATAAGAAAAACACAGACAAGTCTTGCTGATTATTTTAAAGATAAACAGCTATGAATAAATGTACCAAGCTAGGGTGAGGACATCCCCTTTTTATATGACTCCAATCTACAAACAGAACTGATATTGTGAAATAAATCATGCTATGGTATTAAAATTTATAATTAAGTCTTTCAGATAAATCAGAAATAAAGCCTCTTCTCTCACCAAATGTATGTCTGATGTTGGTGGCCTGCATTTGAGGCGGTGCTTGTAGAAAACACGCCATTTTTTGTATTCTGCTGTTACAACTTCTAACTTCCTTTTCCAGTACTTGCCTTCCAGCACAACTGCCTNACTGTCTGAATCTGTTGCAAGTTTGCTGCTGCCTGGTTATCATATTGCAATTGTAAATTTACACCAACATTATCTAACCCAATGTCTCTCTGCTGCTGCTGCTGTGAAAAAGATGGTGTTAAAATAGTCACATTCCCAGTTAAGGACAGTCCCTGGTCTTGCAATTGCAATTGTTGCTGCTGGTTAAGTGTCTGTGATGTCTGCTCCAGAGCTGTCAACAGACTCATGTCATCTGTCATTGGCATTCCGTCACCTTCTGGGACTGGCTGACTGAACATCTGCCCAGAGAAATAGAAAAGATGCACTTAGTTTATCATTACTCTGTACATCTCTGATCATTTGTCAATTGAAAGATATTTCAAATGCTACCATTTCTTCCACCCCAATTTCAAATTTCAGTTAAATATTTATATTATATAACCCCTAGGTAAAGGCACAACTACAGTTCACATGGCAAGAATTTCAATCATATCAATTTTCTTACTAGCAACATAATAAAAGTTATATCAAACTGAACAAAATGAGTGTAAATTATTTTCTTGAAGCTTGACCCAAGACTCATTCACCTGGTTTCTGAGAACACCTGCTGCACTGTTCATGTCAATAGTGGGCAGTGGTGACTGGGATGTGGTCAAGTTAGGGCTGGACATTGGCTTATGCAGGGACGTGATGATGTCTATAATATAGAAAACCATTTAAAATAGTGAAAAAAGAAATCCTTGAAAAACCATAAAGCATGGAAATCAGAACTCATATGTTTGAAAAATGTAAAGATACAGAATTACAAAGTCTTTTAAATAGATGAATAACAAACACAAAAAAGAAAGAAAAAAAAACTCAACAACTACTGTGTTAACACAGATGTGAAGTATTTTGAATATCTACCCAACCAAAAAATGTTGCCATAATAGTAATACTCAGTTTTATATAAATGACATGGTACTTTTCTCCTGTGATTTAAGTTTCCAGAGTTCAATATTAGATGCACTACCTTGTAAAGGCTCCAAGGTGTCCATGAAATCTTCCAATGCTGGCTGCAACTGTATCAAACCAGGCTGGATGAAGTCAGCATTACCCAGCAATCCTGGAAAAACGACATGAAGAATGCTTTCTTTTTTGTTTTACATGCTAGAAAATATAAATGCTTGATAAACCCGCATTTAGTTGCCATATTTTGCTGACATATAAAACAGAAGAAATAAATTTAACTTTTTACCATGGTTTGGTAAAAAAATTACTTGAAAGAATGATGTAATATCTTTTCATACTTCCAATGACATTTTTTTTTCTTTTTTTGCATGGCCTTACCCATTTCTTTTGGATTTGGGAAAGCAAAGGGCATGTTAAGGCTAGAAAACAAGGTATCCGTGAAGTCCATATAGAAGTCATCATCATTCATCTGGGGTGACCTAGGGGGCTGCAGAGTGTTGGCAAAACGGAATGAATCTTGTTCTGCCACACGTTGCAGGAGGTCAGCATGAGAAGGCTGAAATATATCAAATGAGTACTTTTAATTTAGACTTCTTATTTCCCCTTCAAAATTCATACATTTTCCTAAAGGCACATTGTCTGTATAATAATGTATATAAGGTGGTTGTTTACTGCTGATTCAGCATGATTATGAAGTAACCCATTTGTTATAATTTCCCCACTTGGTAGCTGCAGTTGAATAATATTCTGTTAATGAGGCATACCACAATAAGAAAAACACAGACAAGTCTTCCTGATTATTTTAAAGATAAACAGCTATGAATAAATGTACCAAGCTAGGGTGAGGACATCCCCTTTTTATATGACTCCAATCTACAAACAGAATTGATATTGTGAAATAAGTCATGCTATGGTATTAAAATGTATAATTAAGTCTTTCAGTTAAATCAGAAATAAAGCCTGTTTTCTCACCAAATGTATGTCTGATGTTGGTGGCCTGCATTTAAGGCGGTGCTTGTAGAAAACACGCCATTTTTTGTATTCTGCTGTTACAACTTCTAACTTCCTTTTCCAGTATTTGCCTTCCAGCACAACTGCCTATTCAAATAAAATAAAATAAAATATTATACATCATAAAGCTTATAAACTCTTTTTTATTTTCTTCAAAAGTACCACTCATGTAGTAATACAATTTTTTTCTTGTAATAAATCTTCAAAAGAGAGAAAAACAGCAGTAAAAAGCACTAAATAAAGTCTAAACCACAAAGATAATTCATGGTTAACCAGTCTACTCAAGGTCACAAACTGCCATGCCTGTTTATGTACTACTTCCGAATTAGAGACCTGTGAGTCAACTCCTGGTGTAAGTAGTCATCTTTTCTTCTTTACCTTAATCTCAGAACGGAGACCTGTCACTTGCAGGTATGATAAAAAGGGCTTTTAAGGTCACGAGTGCACGTAAGTCAGCCAGAGTGCTATCTATTACATGCACATATATTGGCCTAGGAACAGGTGCCCCTTAAAGGGATGCATACGAGTCTGTTTTTCAGTTTTGTCATGGCTATAAGACCTGTACCACATGTGTCGCCTTCAAGCACACACTTCATTCATATGCCCTCCGAAATGTTTACAAAATCAACCCAAATGCTGTCAAAACCAGTCTGCGTTTCAAAGTAGGAACCTGTGAGCTTTTACAACCTGTTATTTCCTTATAAGTGAAATTTTTTACCAATTAAAAGGTATGAGAAGATTTTTAAATAGGCAAACAAGTTTTGGGTATTCACAAATACGAATTGCCAAAATGATTCAAGAGTGACTTCTTCATATATCCATATGCACATTCTGTATTCACCATTAAATATGGGTATATTTATGCAGTGATAATACAGTGTTATATATTTTTTCAGCTCCATTTTCTATCTGGTTCTTTGTATCTTATGATTTACTGAATCAGCTCAAAATGTACAAAGAGAGAAATGTTAATTCTAAAATATGCCTTCAGCTTTACCATTACTAGCGGAAAGAGACTTTGACTTATGGTCTTTTCTTTGATTAAAGTGTAAATTACCTGTTCATTTTCAAAACAATGAACGTACACATAAGTAAATATTAACTAAAAAGTTGTTAGCCGATGGTTGTCATATCTGCGCTGCTCATTAATTCTATTTAAGCAGTTGATATTAAAATGAAGCAAATTATGTCTATGACAAGTCCTTAGCTAAAGAATTGTGTCTATGCACGGCAATATGTGAAGGACTACAACTGAGTCGATATCTCTCTAATTACTACAGTTCACAGGCCATACATATAAAATAGCATAATGTCTGTATTATATACACATCAAACAGCACTGATCAAATTCAAAGATCTGGTAGCAACCATATCTGATATGGTCATCAACAAGTACTGTAGACTAAATTTACAAAATCATACAGGGGAAACCCCTGACATGTGACCTCAGTTCCATTCAGAGTTACTCAGTGGACCAAACTGTCCCATAATGGCTGAAGATCAAGTAACTGATTTGGTATCTCCAAGGACATACAGGTTATGACTTATGTCCAGTAACTCTTTTCAAACACAGCGACAAAGGAATGTATCTGCCTAAGTTCAGTGAGCAATGTGTATAAGGGCTTGAATGATACTATGACTGAAACAGATCTCAGATGAGTTAACTTTAAAAATGCAGCTGTACCACTGGATGAAAATATGGTAAGGAATTGAAAATTTAACAAAAATCACCAAGCTGAATAAATATCTTAAAATAAACAAATAGGTTGGCAATCGCATTAGTGCTGTAAAGATGTGCAAAGTTAATGGAAGAAAACAATATGGCTGCATTCACATCACAGTTGATCTGCGGATCAAACATGACTGACCCTGTAGAAAACTAGCCCCATAATCCCTGTCGGGAGTTAGGTCGATCTAAAGTAGGTCGATCTAATCTATGGAAATGGGGTGTTAGTCTTGGGATCAACTCTGTTGTGAATGTGCTCTATGATTTTACCTCTGGCCTGATGTGGGTATCATCTGATACAGGAGTAGCAAACTGGCAGACCACTGGGAACTGACCCTTTACATCTGAAAAGAATAAAACATTTTCAATCACTAGTACAGATCATTGTACCAAGAAGTGGACAGTTAAGTGTTGCCAGCTAAACTGACAAAATAACATCTGTATGATAGCAAAAATAAGGGAAAAAATTAGTAATTACCTTGACTGGTTGACTAAACAAAAGAATAATCCTTATGAAACCATACTTGACTTTTGCAGTATTGATAAAAATCATTAGTTTTCTTGAAAATATTCAAGATGCCAAACAAAATAAAGTAATATTCAGAACTTCTTTCTTGTTATCTACTAGTTAATGTTTTTGCTCACTGCCATTTACAATGATGAAACTGAAAAAGAGCAAGATATGTCAACCTCCCTCCATAGGCCAGACTGGTCTTATATAGCTACCTGTCTGCTGTACTTTGGACCCAAGTTTGTTTACTTTAGCAAATAGTCAGAGTGAACTGGACAGGTAGACTAAGAGTTTGACAAATAACCCTGATCAATTTTCAAAGGAAGAAATTTACCATGACATATCACAAACTGCACAATTTTCAATGACAAGAAACTGACTTCATTCAAATGATAATTTATTTCTCTTATCTACTTGCAACTGAAGTTAAGCACAACTGGGATGAATCAAAATGAATTTAGATTTGGAAAAAAATCTACCCTGAAAGTGTGAATTAATAATTCATCTATATCAGTTACAGTAACTTGTAAATGTATTTAAAGCTGTTGCTTTTTCATGTTGGGTTTAGCTGGCTTTTGTGTTAGCCGCTAAGTGAGCCTTGTGTGTGATAGGTTGAGGTGAAAACTGTTCATCTTGTTTGGTAACCTGCTTCGTGAAGTGTTATGGTCACTTTGTAGATCCAAGCTCATCTTTTTACACGACAGTTTTCTACAGCTCATATACTTTAGGATAAGCAATCAAAATATCTACCGATTTACTTTTTTCTTGCAAAACTTTTTATAGGAGACAATTTAATTTTAGTGAAAAGAGAACACTTTTTTCTATGGAAAATATCAAAATTACACTTTGGGAAATTTTCCATTAATTTCAAATATATTCAAACATATCAAACATCATGAAAAATGGGAAACAATACTCACATTGCATATGCCATTCTCTCCAGATGATATTATTTAGTCTCAATTTATCTTTTAAACGTAGTTTCAGTCCACGGAAATTCTTGAATTTTGGTGAACACAGCTTTCCACTGTAAAACAAAAAAGAATATATTATACTATAATAAAATTATAACAAACAAAAAGTTCTATTGCAATCACCATTAAAATCAAAAGAAGTACTTATGCTCTGATGTGAAAAATGTGAAAGGCAGGATATATAATAAATAACATAAATGCAAAGCTATATGCCTAAAGGAAATTTCACTCAAAATATTTTATTTTATTCAAGACTATAACATACTGACCCCTACTTTATTTGCTTATAATATCATTTTTACTAATAACAAAAGATACCAAAGCTATGGTTGTTAAAACAAACTTGTTTCTTAATTTCTGACTAACACAGCTTAATCCATTAGGATCTCACCAATAATGTGCACTCCAATATTCTCCTTCATGTGACAAAAAAGCCTCTTTGCTACAAGTCCCCATGATCATTAAAATTATGTAACAAATATGTTCAAATCCTTTGCATTATGACTTATGGAGCCATACCTTGAATTTTCAAGTTATAACTTATGAAGCCATACCTTGAATTTTCAAAATATGTTATATTAAATGCTGCACAATTTTTTTCTTTTGTCAAGTATAAGACATTACAAGAGCACATGATCAGCAAGTGATCACTGTAGCCTAGCACGGAGAAGGGGGGTCAGTCCTCAGAAAACATGACATACATTTTCAAAACCTCTGTGGCATCAATCAAGCAGCTGTTATAAATATTTTCTCTGACACAATGAATGATCATGATCAGTAATGAGCATATGTAGGGGCAAAAGGTACTTTCTTTTGCTTTTAGCCAGTCTTAAACAGTTCCAGACGTGACCTATATATTGGCTCAAGCTACTAATGATGAAAATCAGACTTGACCTAAATATAGGCAGGACCAAAATAGATATTCACATGCACAGAGCGTGATCAGTTATGCACTGCACTGTTTTTGTTGGCCCACACATATGATAACAACAGTCAACCTAGCAGGACAAACACCTTGTTTAGGCCACATGTACCAGTGTGATGTATTTACAAAAATTATTTGATTATTATGAATCAAGTCACTGTTGTTTGTGTGTTTATTTTTTTTCCTTTTTTTTTTTTTTTNTATAAGTAACTGGCTCGCGCTGCCAGTAATTACGCGGCGGGATATTCAGGGCACAGACCGTGATCACAAGATACCGCGAATAGAAAATAGATTTTTAGAAAATAGACTTTCCATGTGAACGAAGCCTTAGTCTTGGGACCAACTCTGTTGTGAATGCTCTCTATGATTTTACCTCTGGCCTTATGTGGGTATCATCTGATACAGGAGTGGCAAACTGGCAGACCACTGGGAACTGACCCTTTACATCTGAAAAGAAAAATAAAATATTTTCAATCACTAGTACAGATCATTGTACCAAGAGGTGGACAGTAAAGTGTTGCCAGCTAAACTGACAAAATTGCTGTCTGACAGCAAAAAGAAGGGAAAAAATTAGTCACTACCTTGACTGGTTGACTAAACAAAAGAATAATCCTTATGAAACCATACTTGACTTTTGCAGTATTGATAAAAACCATTAGTTTTCATGAAAATACTCAAGATGCCAAACAAAATAAAGTAATATTCAGAACTTCTTTCTTGTTATCTACTAGTTAATGTTTTTGCTCACTGCCATTTACAATGATGAAACTGAAAAAGAGCAAGATATGTCAACCTCCCTCCATAGGCCAGACTGGTGTTATATAGCTACCTGTCTGCTGTACTTTGGACCCAAGTTTGTTTACTTAAGCAAATAGTCAGAGTGAACTGGACAGGTAGACTAAGAGTTTGACAAATAACCCTGATCAATTTTCAAAGGAAGAAATTTACCATGACATATCACAAACTGCACAATTTTCAATGACAAGAAACTGACTTCATTCCAGTGATAATTTATTTCTCTTATCTTCTTGCAACTGAAGTTAAGCACAACTGGGATGAATCAAAATGAATTTAGATTTGGAAAAAAATCAACACTGAAAGTGTGAATTAATAATTCATCTATATCAGTTACAGTAATTTACAAATGTATTTTAAGCTTTTGCTTTTTCATGTCGGGTTTAGCTGGCTTTTGTGTTAGCCGCTAAGTGAGCCTTGTGTGTGACAGGTTGAGGTGAAAACTGTTTATCATGTTTGGTAACCTGCTTCAGGAGGTGTTACACGACAGTTTTCTACAGCTCATATACCTTGGGATAAGCAATCAAAATATCTACTGATTTACTTTTTTCTTGCAAAACTTTTTATAGGAGACAATTTAATTTTAGTGAAAAGAACACTTTTTTCTATGGAAAATATCAAAATTACACTTTGGGAAATTTTCTATTAATTTCAAATATATTCAAACATATCAAACATCATGAAAAATGGGAAACAATACTCACATTGCATATGCCATTCTCTCCAGATGATATTATTTAGTCTCAATTTATCTTTTAAACGTAGTTTCAGTCCACGGAAATTCTTGAATTTTGGTGAACACAGCTTTCCACTGTAAAAAAAAAAAGAATATCTTATATTGTAATAAAGTCATAACAAACAAAAAGTTCTATTGCAATCACCATTAAAATCAAAATAAGTACTTAGGTACTTGATATTAAAAATGTCAAAGGCTGGATATAATAAAATTAATGCAAAGCTATATGCCTAAAGGAAATTTCACTCAAAATATTTTATTTTATTTAAGACTATAACATACTGACCCCCAATTTTATTTATTTATATCATTTTTACTAATAACAAAAGATACCAAAGCTATGGTTGTTAAAACAAACTTGTTTCTTAAATTCTGACTAACACAGCTTAATCCACTAGCATCTCACCAATAATGTGCACTCCAATATTCCCCTTCATGTGACAAAAAAGCCTCTTTGCTACAAGTCCCCATGATCATTAAAATTATGTAACAAATATGTTCAAATCCTTTGCATTATAACTTATGGAGCCATACCTTGAATTTTCAAAATATTTTATGTAAAATGCTGCACAGTTTTTTTCTTTTTCTTTTGTCGAGAACAAGACATTACAAGTGCACATGATCAGCAAGTGATCACTGTGGCCTAGCACAGAGAAGGGGGGGGGTCAGTCCTCAGAAAACATGACATACATTTTCAAAACCTCTGTGGCATCAATCAAGCAGCTGTTATAAAAATTTTCTCTGGCACAATGAATGATAATGATCAGTAATGAGCATATGTAAGGGCAAAACGGTACTTTCTTTCGCTTTGAGCAAGTCTTAAACAGCTCCAGACATGACCTATATATTGGCTCAAGCTACTAATGATGAAAATCAGACTTGACCTATATATAGGCAAGACCAAAATAGATATTCACATGCACAGAGCGTGATCAGCTCTGCATTGCACTGTTTTTGTTGGCCCACACATATGATAACAACAGTCAACCTAGCAGGGCAAACACCTCGTTTAGGCCACATGTACCAGTGTGATGTATTTACAAAATTATTTGATTATTATGAATCAAGTCACTGTTGTTTGTGTGTTTATTTTTTCTTCCTTTTTTTTTTGGGGGGG